ATACTGAGGCGTGAGCTTTTAGCAATATTCCAGCAATATCACGATGGGGACACTATTCCAGCAATATCACGATGGGTACACCAGAAATGGACTTCACACTCATACTGAGGAATGCTAGGTATTAAAAAAGATATCGATTTTAACCAATCAAAAGCATTCTTCAATATCATGGCAGAAAACAAATCAAATTTATACTCTGCCATCACACCAGTTTCATCACACAAATCAAATGAGGATAAATCAGTTTTATTTGACATTACATACAGATGACAAAGTAAAATTTCATTTTTACAAATAAACTGGAACATATTTCAAATATTTAAAACATCAATAATATAACTTGAACAAAATATATTTGACTGTTCCCTAATCTAAACTGCTACATTAATGTTAAATAATATTGAATTATTTTTGGATGTTGGACCTAATTAATAACTACGATATTGCAACAACTTTTTTATTTATAAAGAAAAACACTTAATTTTTTCATTATTATTGAATTCAGATGCTACATCAAAATTAAATGAAAAATACTACATCAAACATTACCCACAGAAAAGGTTAAATGTGAAAATGGTAACTGCGCGGATAACACAAATATTGCCCACAGGTCAAAGGTGAAGATGAACTTTTTTCAGAACTGATAACTGCCTATATGGGTGGTTGCAATTTTCGGGTCAGGTGCCTGTATTACTGATTTTCAGGTCATATTACTGATAACTGCCTGTGGGTGATTGCACTTTTTCCAGGTCATATTACTGATAACTGCCTGTGGGTGGATTTGCAATTTTCGGTCATATTACTGATAACTGCCTGTGGGTGGTTGCATTTTTCAGGTCATATTTCTGATTTTTCCGGTCATATTACTGATAACTGCCTTTGGGTGGTAGCAATTTCCAGGTCACCTACTGCAATGCCACGCTCGCCAGGGTCGTAAGTATATGAAGATGGAGAACCAATTGTGTTTGTAGACCAAAGAAGCCCATCTTCTCATTCCAAAAGAAATGGGGATTGCACAGAATTGTGTAATGCTTTGTTTAAATGGTTTCTCCATTATCCTGAGTACACACTGTCAATACTTAAACTTAATTGTATTTAAATGTGTGACAGATTTCATACCACCTGTGAATACACTTGTTTGTACCAGGGTTGAAACAGTATGCTCCTACCAGGGTAGGGTACGTATTGCGGTACAAGGCCTTCGGTTCGGTATATGAGATATGATCATAACGAAGAAAAACAAAGAAATGGATTGATTTTGACAAAATGATTTGATTTCTAAATATTTTAGAAAAGGTTAAGAAGGTTAAAAAAATGACGGTACGAAAACTGCTGAATTTTTGGATTGCATTACGGTATACCGAACCGAAGGCAAAATACCATGGTTCTACTAATACCGTGGTATACCGTTTTACCCCTAGTTTGTACACACTAAGTTTCTCCATTACCAATGAATACCAATCCATGACGAATTCATTTTTCACCAATCTCTTAGCGCCAAGATAGTCGTAAGTTAATGTTAATGTATGGCACATACGACTATCTTAGCACTAAGAGAGCTTCGAAAATCTAGGCCCAGATCATTAAGATCATTACAATTCCTTCCAGGTCACTTTATTCCTTGTTTTATAATTCTGTAATAGATTTTGGTAAAATTTGCTTGTTATTGCACAAACATCTTTTTCATTAAAACACTTACTAGTCTAAATAAACAGCATTAAAGGCTAACAACAAACTATATCGTTTTAGAAATATCAATTGAAATTACATCTTGATCTAATCATTATTTTACAAACAACCAAATACACATGGAATACGTTTAGAAAAGAGTGAATTGAAGTCTATTCGCCAGTGACACTAAAGGTGTAAATCTGTCTGGGGAACCATGTACGTGAGACTCCATGGTCCTAGTATGGTGGCATTACCTATGCTGCTGGCGTCCTGTAGCCCAATTCATTTGCATCATGCCAAATACTCAGTTTGAATGTTCTATAAGGCCAGACCAATTTCTTTCTTGTTTTATGGATCAAGAATAAGACAAAAAATAAAAATTAATTTTCCCTGCTCAGAAAATAAAATCCTAATGTTAATGTGATATAAGTGAAATACTCTTGAAATCAGTGTGAAACCCAACACTCACTCAACTTATTTTTAGTTGATATAAACAAACCAAAAGACTTCACTGTAAACATGGAAACTCATGTGGGATTTTGTTTGACAGGTTTTGGGGTTTTTTGCCTGCTGCCTTTAGGTTTTCTGAGGACAAAAATCTGTAAAACAAGAAATAAAATTAGTCTGGCCTAACTAGTTATACTACAAATATGCAATATACTGCTTGTACTTACTGGTATTCGGTCTATTGATAAGGTTTTAAAAATTTTGTGCAACTGCAAAACTTGATCAAATCACAATATGGCTGAAATACTACCATGGCGTAAATGAAACTCACTCATTCACTGCAACACTCAGCAATATTTCAGCTTGGACAGCAACAACTAAGTACATGAAATATTATGTTGGTGAAAAAAGATCATGCTGACCTGGGTTTTAGGAGTCTACAAGGTTAAGAGTATTTGTGTCATCATGGCCAAAATATCTCCCGTGGGAAAAACTGAGAACATTTTTCTTAACTATTTAAGCTAAGAATCAGGACAGGAGGAAAAAAAACAGGGACAGACTAATAACATTGAGAGTTTAGTCTTTAATCGGTAAAATATTAAGTTTTATCAGATTTAACACCTGACCGGGCAGGTCTTACACTGTTGACATCCTAGCTCATATCTACCATCACAGAACACGATCACATTCAAGTTCAGGAGTGGTAGGGTAGCCTGGTGGGTAGAGCATTCCCTCGTCACACTGAGGACCCGGGTTCGATTCCCCACATGGGCTCAATGTGTAAGGCCCATTTCTGGTGTCCCCGCTGTAATATTGCTGGAAAATTGCTAAAAGCGGCAAAAACTAAACCCACTCACTCGTATTCAAGCTTTGCTCAATTAAAAGTGAGTTGCACAAAACTAAATTCACTCACTATGAGTTAAGCATGGGATGAATCAATTGATGCAGGTCTCGATATTGACCACTTAGTGAAACACATGGGAATGGTGCAGACATATCTAGAAACATACCTCGTAGGGCTGTGTATCGGCAAATACATTGTACTGCAATATATTGAGATTCAGGTACCTGTATTGCGTAAATAATGATATGAGGACACATTGGGGACAAATTGTTTGACAGTGAGGGACACTAATTGTACATGTACATGTAGATCCAAATCTCTACATGCTAAGTCCCTAAAACTAATTATTATGGCTCTGGTAACAGCAATCTCAAAATTAGGTTGGAGTGTTGAATATTATATACCAGAGCTCCAGATAGGATTTACCTCATGTGGGTACTGTACCCACTGTATGGAGTGGGTATTTTTGGGTATTATGAATGTTGAGTGGGTATTTTCATCTCAAGTACTCCACTACTGCTTCAAACATGTGCGTGCATTTCAGTCATTTTACTCACCTAAGCATTACGTCATTGAGTAAGTTTACTAAGCAGGTATGTTCTGCCTTATGTCATACCTAATCAAAACCAACTTAAATATAATTAAAATGATTTCATGAAAATCACTCATCCTATACTAACAGTACAACACTTGTCCTATACTAACAGTACAACTTGATAGCAATCGATGTCTTTTTCATAAGGCAAGCGATTTTTATAAATATATTCTGTACGCATTTGTTTTAAACTTTTTGCGCAAATGGTACGCAACAATTATTTTTTCAATGCATAATTGGAAATTTTCTATACGTATTTTACCCAGATACGCGGCTTATCTGGGCCTCTGATATACTGAGTGAAACAAATAAAGGATCACAAGAAAATTTCAGCGTTCGTTTAATATTTTCCAGTTTTCATCATCATCAGCTTTGAATAGAGCTGAGATGATAAAAACTGGAAAGTAATATAGGAACGCTTGAATTTTCCTATGATCCTCTATTTGTTTCAGTATACCTTCCCTTTTATACAATTTCTAGCATATAAAGTTTTCTTTTGTCAATCAGTCAATTACGAAGGGGGATCAATTGATAATGAAAGTCTGTAGATTTTAACATTAACCATAGAGGTACTCGCAAAATGTCATACAATATTTTTACCCAATCTGACTTCATACATTCACAATTATTTTACCCAATATCACGTCATACATATTTTTCACCTAATGTACTGGTTGTCAGAAGTAAATACTGCAATACATATCGTTTGTATAGAGAACTGCAGCATACCTGAATATAATGCAGCTGAGGTACAGATAAGCTGCTTATCTGCGTAAATTGCACAAATATTTATGTGAAAACTCAATTCCTTTTAAATCTATTGCGTACAAGTACGCTTGAATTTTTGTAAATACTCAATAAATATGATCTTACATGCGTACACACAAAAATGTCAAATCTTAGCTTGCGTACCAGTGGATAGAAAAAATGACATATAAAATAACTGAGGTATATTGAGAGGTTCTATTTCAGGACATGAACTTGACAACTTGCAGTCTTTCTTATCGTTTTTCATATTACAGATAAAAAATAAATAACAAAAACTAACATTTAAACTATATTGTACGTTTAAAATTAATGGAAAATGGCAAAATACCCAATTGAGTTTGAGTGAGGTGGGTACAGTTTATTATGTTCCTCAAAGGAAAATTAGGATACCCAATTGAGATGAACACAAGCGAGTACATAACTCAATGACCCAAAAGTTATCTGTAGCTCTAATGCAGACATAATAATTTGGGCAAACATGGATTTGAACCCATGGATGTGTTTCTGGCATTCCCAAGAGAAGCAACTCTGCACAGCAAAGTGTAGTACCTTAGTGAGTGAGTTTAGTTTTACGCCGCACTCAGCAATATTCCAGCTATATGGCTGCAGTTTGTAAATAATCGGATCTGGATCAGACAATCCAGTGATCAACAGCATGAACATCGATCTACGCAATTAGGATACGATGACATGTGTCAACCCAGTCAGCGAGACTGGCCACCCGATCCCATTAGTCGCCTCTTACTGTAGCACTTTAACACGGCAGGGCTACCAAAGTGCCTTAATCAATAAGAAGCTCTACTTTGTGAGAGGTGAAGTGTATTTATCATCACAAACTATTTCCATAGGAAATATTGCTTAGGTGAATTAAAGAATGGGAGCTAGTCGTCATTTATGTACTGGATTCGACAGGGGTATTGCAACAAAAGCATAAATGATAGTTTTAATGTTTTACAGTAACTTATCACTTCAATACAAATCTGCCTGTTTTTCATTAAAGTTCATTTCTTTACAAGAAAAAGATTGCATATCTGTAACAAAAAACAAAACTATGATTCTTAAAGAATTCGGTCAAATTTTCATTAAAACGTACAGAATTTGTCGAAGGAATCCTCAAAGAAAACACAGTTCAGTAGTATACTCCCTTTCAACATGCTGAAACCATTATTTAATACATAAAACAAATTTTACTTAAAATGTACAATTCTACCAAATGTTTTTCCATAAATATTTTGGCAATCTGTTATTAATTAAAAACAACTATAACAAATACACACATCTGAATTTTGTTAACAACATGTAAGAGCCTTAAAATAAATAACTATCTAGTATTTAAAATTCATCATTATACCTTAAAAAAATTCAATATTAAAATACTATTCTGAAACAAAATTTCCTTTATACATAATTAATCCATTTGAATAACTAGCACTACAGTTTAATAATTCCATTTTCTTAGTAAACAAGAAGAGTTAAGGCTGTGAAGTTTGTCAGCGGGGATTACGTCAATTCGTCTTCTTGGGCTCTTTACTGAAATGAAATGAAAACGCTTTGCAAAATAAAGTCTCATTAATATCAATTCTATTACTCCTATATGATACTCTGTGCGAAGATCTGACAACACTTCAAATTATCACATCACCTGACCTTTCTAATCAGCCAATCAACACTAAATCTGCTATATTCTTTGAACAAAGAAGTGAAACATTTTAATCAGCAGATCTGATTTCTTAACTGCAAGAAATGAACATTTACAAGCAGCTCTGAATGGAGATAATAAAGGCAGCAATATCTATGCCCAACAAAACTCATGTGTCAACAAAGTCAAAAAGTCTCACCAACTGATCCCGTTAGTCGCCTCTTACAACAAGCACGGCTAACTGAAGACCCAATTCTAACCTTTACGGGTTGAACTTGACTAGGTCTTCCCAGGAGGAAAGACTGTAATGTGACTGTGAACTCCATTGACAACGTGTGTTGGATACTCCAAAGGGAGCTGATAATGAATATCAAGTACATGCTGACAGCCAGAGCATACACCTGTATGTAGTTCAGAATCAAGAATACAATCATCATCATCATGGCCGGTGGGGTAGCCTAGTGGCTAAAGCGTTCGCTCGTCACGCCGAAGACCCAGGTTCGATTCCCCACATGGGTACAAACTGTGAAGCCCATTTCTGGAGTCCCCCTACCGTGATATTGCTGGAATATTGCAAACAGCGGCGTGAAACTAAACTCACTCACTCATCATGATCATCATCACTCGACTGCCCGAGTGTTTTACCTGGTGTGGGCTGGAGACTTGTGAGGAGAGACATCCATGGCGATTCTCTTCACAACTTTAGGGCAAGTTTCAGGGACACACCTGATAAAATACAGAATTATATATCCTTCATTCAGAACATTGTTCACAGCTAGGACCATGCATTCCGAACACCTATCCCCTCTCTCCTTTTTCTCGTGTGTAATGGTGCCATCTCTCTTCCCACTGGCACTGTTTGTTTTCCAACTACAGTGGACTCCCTCTTCACAGACATCGCTCGGACCGAGGAGAAATGTTGGTTTAGAGGGATGTCGGTTTAGAGGGAGTTTTTAGAAACTCATAACAAGCACTTAACATGTGATTTCACCAATCTATGAATCTACTGAACATGTAATTATCTATTTGATTTGCATTTTAGAAGTTGGTGAGCAATTAGCAAGTAATTAACAGTTTATCCTATTACGCCTTGGCAGGCCACCGCTCACCCTAGCGTGTAGACTGATGCAATCTCTTGTGAAATTACAATGTCAGTTTAGAGAGAGTCAATTTGCACTAAAAACATGTTTTGGGACCGGATTTGAGTGTCAGAATTCGGAACAGAGGGATGTCTAATTAGAGGGAGTTTCTTATATGATATTATATAGGCACAAATTCGGGTCCAAATAAATATGTCAGTTTACAGGGAATGTCGGATTAGAGTGAGTCCACTGTATATGGACCACACAATCCAGTAGTGGTGGTTCGATTAATTGAAATAATCGAAGATTGGTCGCAGTGACTAAACGACCAAGCAATCGATAATGTTTTCTCATAATCAAACACAAACAATTCAGGAACACTTGTTTTTATCAACAATATTTTTCACAAGGTTGGTTTTGTCTGTTACATTTCATAAGCACTCCAAGCTCGTTCCAAGTCATGATTGAATTTATCTTAAAGACACCAAGAAAATTTATGTTCCTAGCATACTAGTCATCCTTTAAAGATGTGAACTTTTGCCAAAAACATCCCAAATAATTTTTGTGCTTTAACACGCAATTATTTTTCCTTATTTTTTGTGATTTTAACAAATTTCATAAATGACGCTAACCAATTATTTTCGATGTTTGATCGGGTGGTAATGAACCAATTATGAGATTTTAACCAATTCCCAACACTACAATCCAGTGACTGACAACATGAGCACCAACTCACTCCTTCAGGGTAAAATGATGCAGCAATTCAGTGAGTTCCAAGAGTTGATCTCTTGGCAACAGTATAAGTGATGATAATTGAAATTAGCTATCTACATTGAATACTGACACTCCATTCAATGATGTAAATAAAGCATAAAGTGTCCTCTATGTTGGTCTTCATATCACTAAAAGAAGTTGACTTGTAAATGGCTTCACATTAGATATGACAATATGATTTGGGAATGTTTTAATTCCAATGTAAGACATTTTACTGAACTTGCTGCCGACTTGGGACCGAATATCATCTTCTGATGTTTGTGTGCTGCTCTATAGGGGTGAAACGGTATTTTGACTTCAGTTCGGTATACCATAATGCAATCCAAAACTTCCGGTATTTTCTGATTTCATACCGTGATTTTATTATTAACCTTTTAAACCTTTTCTAAAATGTGTAGAAATCAATCATTTTGTCAAAATCAATCCATTTCTTTGCTTGTCTGGATTATGATTATATCTCATATACCGAACTGAAACGGACAAAACCGAAGGCCTTGTACCACAATAACACGCACCGCATCAGAAGTGGTTAGAGCTGCACCATTTCACCTCTACTGCTTAATGACACACTCCAGAATATTCCTGCTATATGGCAGGCTGTATATAATCAAATCTGGACCAGACATAGTGGTTGATATTGGGAGCATGAGTGAGTGGTTGATATTGTGTCAGGCTGTAAACCAAGTAACCAGACGGCCCACCCAATCCAACTGGTTGTCTCTCAAAGACACAATGTCACATTTCACAATATTTTGGACAATTATTTTATATTGGGGCATATACCCTCACTTTAGCTTCCTATTGATACCATAAAAGATTTATTATCCCTTACGACTTGCCTGAAATCGATAATTGAAACTTTGAGGTGAACAGCTTCAAAACAGATAACACTTGCCAAATATGGAATGTAAACATTTGCTCCGTACATCGAAAACTGTCGCATGACGCTGGTTGCGGCGTCTAGGACTGGTTTCAATAAAGTTGGGTTATAGGATATTCATAAAGAGCCAAGGGACATAACTCTATGGGGTTTGCTTGAAATAATGTTCAGCTGATAAAGGGTGCGGAGTCCATTTCATGTAATGTTGCATTAATTCATTCGAACTTTTAATTTAATATTGTAATTTTTAAGAAATACACTAACCCACGAGTTACCTCCTTTGCCCTTTCCGCGACAAAACCAGTCATGTGACGTGCCTTACTTGTCACTCTCTCCTTATTTTCCGCCCATGCACTTGGATCTGCTGTGAAATCTCAGGTGTCTTCAACAGGAAGGTTTGGGGGGGCTTCTTCGTCATGAGTCAGGATTAGTATGAAATATTAATTTTACTTTAAAAATTACATATTTTTCCTTATCCTGACTCATTATCTTTTGCTTATAGAATCCGACGGATAGGTGGTGGGTCAAGCCACTGGATTGAACAGCTGTCCTTAGATACGTCCTGTATCCCCCCCTATGGGAACTGCGGACGGCATTTCCGTGATCCTATTCTTCCAACTTCCGTTATAACTCGGGGGGGGGGAACCACTTTCTTGCCTTACTTCAACTGACTGACTGAGTTTAGTTTTACGCCGCTTTTAGCAATATTCCAGCAATATCACGGCGGGGGACACCAGAAATGGGCTTAACACATTGTGCCCATGTGGGGAATCGAACCCGAGTCTTCGGCATGACGAGCCAACGCCTTAACCACTAGGCTACCCCACCGCCCCGCCTTACTTCAATCTCAGACAAGTTGAATCATGTTGATTCATGTGGCTACAGATAAACTAGTATCTTCTTATTACTAGATATCTTATAGCAACCCATAGATTATGATAAGATCTTTATCATAAATGAGTTGCGACCCCTTCACGTACAGGTAAGATCTTTACCTGTACAGGATCTTTAATCACTCATGCTAGCCTGCCTTAGACTGTGCGCATGGACTTTCAAACTAGTACTTTTCATTAGTAAAAGTTATCAACAATTTAGCGTGATAAAGGGTGAGATTTTCCAACTCAGAGCCTTTGAGGAACCGTTAGTTTCTGTGCTACAACGAGAGGCCCAAATTGGTGAATGCCTGAGATGTCTTCAGTGGCTATGTCTCGGAGGTAGTGGTTGGCAAACACATTGTCCGACTTCCAAAAGCAGCCCTCCATCATTGTCGGTATAGAGCAATTTCCGTGCAGAGCTAGTGTTGATGCCAGTGCTCTGACTTCGTGTGGGTTGGAGGCTCTAGGAGGTTCTAGTCCTGCTGCTTTATAGGCTCTCAATATAACGGCTCTCATCCAGAACGATATGGTCGTTCTGTTGATAATGGGATGAATAGGCACTCTAATTTTTGTCTCCTTGTCTCGGTCTTTTGAAGATATATCTTCAGGGTTCTGACTGGACACAAGGATAAGTCCTCTATATCCTGTGGACAGAGGACTGTTGACAGCGCTGATACGTGGAACTGTCTATCTGGTTGACCAGGTAGCTGGTTCTTGGCAATAAAGTCCCATCTAAGTCCTAGATGAACTGCATTATGTTGCCCTCTGTCGAATCTGGTTCGACCAAAGTCCAGCGCATGTATCTCCGATATGCGAGTTGCTGTGGCTAACGCTAGCAGGAACAGCGTCTTCTGTGTTAGCAGCTCGAGTGTAGTCTGGTCTAGAGGTTCGTAGGCATCACTGGTAAGATGACGTAGAATTACATTCAGATCCCAGGCTGGAGCTCTGAATTTCTTTTGCTGGTCCTCCAGCTTAAAAGATCTCAGCAGAGCAAGTAATTCTGGTACTTTCGTCAACTTGATGCCTGTTTTCATGGTAATCACTGTACTGATTGCAGCGAGGTATGTAGATAGTGTCGAACCCTTCAGATGTCTGGTCTGTCTCAGATGACACAGATATTCCGCCACTTGAGGATGAGTGGCTATCATCGCTGTGAAGCCTTTCCACCTTGTATAAGTCTCAAACTTCAGCCATTTGTCATCGTATAGGTTACGAGTCGATCTGCGTAGCGCCAACGTTACTGGTTTGGCTGCCCTGGCGGAGTATCCTCTTTTCTTCAAGCACATTTTGATACGGTCCACAAGTGTAGCTGGAACACTATTGGATTTCCGTGGACTTGCTTGCTGTGCAGATGTATTAGTAGGTTCGGCCAATCTGGTAATTAGATTACTGGGTTTCCGAGATCTTCTATTAGGTCTGGGAACCAAGCTCTCGCTGGCCAATAGGGCGCGACCAAAGTCAGTTGTAGCGTCTGAGTCTGTTTGATCTTGGCAGTAGTATCGGGGGTGGAAAAGCGTAGCCGTTTAGTCCTTCCCACGACATGCTCAGTGCATCTGTTACCCAGGCTTGAGGATCTGGAACTGGCGAGACAAACGTCGGTAGTTGTTTGTTTAACCTCGTGGCAAACAGGTCTATGCAAGGGGATCCTATCTCCCTTATGTTCCGAAACGCTTCTGGATGGAGCATCCATTCCGTAGGTGACGGGTGTAGTGGTCTTGAGAGAGCGTCTGCCAGTACGTTCTTGGCTCCGGGTATGTGACACGCCTTTATCCAGACACGCCTTTATCCAGACACACCTTTATTTTGCTTCCTGCGTAATCTGGAACAACTGGAATGTGAGCTACAACAGGCTTGGAGACCTTGTGGATCCTTGCCGGTGTATGGAGAACGCCACTGTGGAGTTGTCCGTGTGGATCATCAGCATTTTGTTGTTCAGCAAGCTCGACCATACTTGTAAGGCGTTGATCACTGCCTTCATCTCTAGCAGATTGATGTGAAGCTGCTGTTCCATTTTGGACCACTTTCCCGATGCCACTTGATCATTCAGATGCGCACCCAATCCTTGCATCGAGGCGTCTGTGTAGAGATGTGTGTCAAAGGCCGCCTCTTGTAAATAGGTTCCTTCGCAAACGTTCAACCTGTGTGTCCACCACAGTAGATACCTCTTGAGGTTTTCCGGCAGCAAGATAAGGTCGACGCTGTCTAAATGTATTATCAGGAACCGTTGCAGCGGTCTTAGTTGTAACCTTCCTGTGCGAGTCAAGTCATGCGCCGAGGTTAGTAGACATTGCCATGTTCGTAGTGTTAATGGAGAGATGACTGCTTGTTGAATCATGGCTTGTATCTTGATCCAATGAACTTCTGGGACCAATATCGATTCTGTGTTGTGATAATTCTTATTCCCAGCAATTGAAGATCTTGTTTGATTCTAACTCCAATTTACATCAGGTTCACTAGCCATCCTAGTTGCGTGAGCAACTTAATTGTGAAGTTCAGCTGCTCTCTGAGTTGATAGGCACTTTGAAGAACCTGTATGCCGTCGTCCAGATTACCGGCACTGCATAGACCTCAATGTTGCAGATAGGTGCCGATAGGCTTGGTTATTCATATGAATAATCATAGAGCCGACGATATTCCAAACGATAGGACGTTCCATTGGAAGTGCTAACCTCTGATTGCAGTGATGATACATCATTCTTCCCCTTATATATGCAGGCGATCTGTGTTGACATCGAAGTGTTGTCTATTTGTAGCAAGGCTGGCTCCCGTGTAGTATCACAGGGGACAGGTACTCATACCGACTTTTATCAGCGACAACCTCTGAAATAGACATCGTTTATCCTGCTGTCAAAGCTAGACATCTATTAGATTCCCATGATGATAACAGGCTGAAGTTCTATACTGTTTCCAAGGCTGTTGATGAAGTATTCCCTCGTACCACGGGTTTGTTTACAATGAGAAAACATGCTGGAGCCTGCTCTGTCAGTGGGAGGCGTTGTCTGATGTGGACCAATCAGCTTCAAGCATGACATCACCAGTGTTGTAGCAAGTTCGACTCCATAAAATCTGATGCAATTAGTTGGTTGAGTAAAAGCGTGCGTAATTCTACGCCGCTCATATAAAGTTCTTTACTAAGGGTTGCTCCAAGTGTAAATTCTTGTTTAGTGATATAAATCACTTATTCCCAGCATGACGAAGGAGGCTGTCAAGACGTATGTCTGTTTGGATCTTGAAGAAATACCGATGTTGAATCTAGTTTATGGGATATAATTCCTAATCCACACGCTGAGTGACGAGTGTTAATACGATCATCTGTATGTCCGTTCAAGGATACTTGAAGGTGATGTTAACCTTAAGCCCTTTACAAGGTCGTCTTGAGGTTCTCCAGTTCTTGAGATATCGGCTTCTTAGGTGATATCATATTGGAGTCGAAGTCATCAGCGTATATGCAGTACGTCTCTGTTGGGTTGGAGTGAGTGAGTGAACGACAATATCCGCAGGCTATCTGCTACCCGGTATAAAACGTATAGTATGGTAATAGAGTCGACGTCAACATCCTGCCTGTTGATGTAAGGGTTCGTTAACCCTAGGGTTTGCGAACCCTGTAGATGTCTATGTTGCTATTATCTGCCTGTAGATCTGAGAGTTCTTGAACCTTGTAGATGTCTGTAGCTTTCTCAAAGCTGTGCGTAGGTTAGAAGGTGCCTTGGATATAGGTTCAATCGGAGGGATTGTGACAGAGTCGAGGTCATCGTTGAGCATCATATAAGTGTAGACTTCATCTTTATCCTTAGAAGGAGACTCCAAGTTCAACCCATTGGCAATCCATGCTGTGGATGGGAAGGCGAAGTCCGTTTGCAAGTCCGAAGTCTCCTGAATATGAGAGCTATGTCTCGACAATTCATCCATCTGCGAACCTGTAGATTTGCGCAGGCATGTGGGTTTGCGGACGGTGTCGGTAGATGAGAGGCTTTTCCTAGCCTTCGATTCCTCCTGGAATCTACGTTCCCTCATGGCCATCATCTGGTTGGTGAATTCTGTCATAAATTCCCCTGGGTCGAAGTTCTGCATAGGTTGACGCTGCTGCGGTGTAGGGGAAGCGTTCACAAACGCTGATGAGTAATGTGCCTCAACTTCACTCTAAGAAGTAAGAGGTAGTTCGTCAACATCTGTCCTGCTGTGACTGTAGTAGGGGACGATCTCCTAGTAGTAGAGGTCTACAGAGTCGCTGATCTCATAGATACTTCAGGCAGAAGTAATGGGGGTTCGTCAAAAACGTCTAGTTCGTGAGGAGGTACAATCTCTTCGTTGAAGGATTTCTGGTGCTAGATGACCTAGCATGCGTAGCTTTGCGCTTCGATCTGGTAACCGTAGACTTCTTCTGCACAGTAGAAGAGGATGACATCTTTTTCTTAGTCTGAGACGGCGTCGACTGAGATGTAGACGATCTCTTCTTCGCCCCCTTACCAGCAGGCTGCCCCTGTAACGTACTAAACATAGCACCAGTATTATGAACATCAGCAGTAGCAAGCAACATACGGTTTGAAGGCTGATCTGCAGATTTATCAATCGTGACTTGAGATGACTTTCTCACCCGATCCATGGCACGTCTATAAATATAAGACAAATATTGATTAAATTGTACATTAGATAAATCAATACAATAAGTACAGCGCAAACTCGAGGAACATGGATTTATGCACGAAGGACATTGGGAGTGAGGATCAGCCACGGATAACCTGTGCCTGCAAACACTGCAGGATTTCATGAAATGTATACAACGTTAGATGACGATGAAAACACGACTCAAAGTCAATAAATTTATACAAAATTGTACAAATACTACATAGTAGTTATAGCCAAATCCATTTACAGCGTGATTTTGAAGAATAGGCCTAAATAAAAAGGATATGATGCCATATACGGCACTCCAGTGCTCGCGCAACCATCCACTCGGGCAAAAAGGGAGATAGTGACAAGTAAGGCACGTCACATGACTGGTTTGCTCAGGAAAGGGCAAAGGGAGGTAACTCGTGGGTGAGTGTATTCATACGTCCGCTCCGGGAACTTCAAGGGATTCAAGTGTTCCACTACCATTCGAAATGGAAAGGGAGATAAGCAAAAGATCATGAGTCAGGATAAGGAAGAATTTGTAATTTCTAAGATGCTTCGGTGAAAGATCAAAGGTGCGGACAGTACTTTATCCGACAATACATTACATTACGTCACAATGTACTCGCGTCACTGCGCCATTCTAGTCTGCTCCCTCGTAATCGAACCATTTTACATGACGTCACAATGTAAGCAACGATCATTGCCTCCTACAGTAAACTACTCCGTTGCATCCCATTTCTTGGTTTGCAGTTGCTTCACGCAGCTAACATCACTGGTGGAAACATTACGTGTTTATGTTTTACGACAGTTAAAATGTCTCAATTCTACTCACAAGTTTTCAGCGAAACGGTAACGTTCGCAATGTTTACATTCCCACAATGCAATCGCGGAATGTCGCTTGACTAATCAGCTTCATCTGGATGCACTGATCTAAACTTACGTTGGTAGTAGAAATGCGATGTTCACATTGCCTCATATGGTTTTACGTTAATAACAGATGTAATTAAAATAATTCAGAGAAGATATTTAATCCAAACGTAAACCGTCATCAAACTTCTATCATTTGTTTTTTTTCTGGTAACGTTTGTCTTAACGTAGGGGGACAGACACATCAATAGAACAGCACGCCAGTTATCCCTGTGCGAGGATTATTAATTTAGGTCACCGAAACCGTCGTTTGTTTTCTGCCTTACATTAATCATAATTATCCTTAGAAAGTATTAAATTTGGCATCTTAGAAAAGAAATACAGTTCGCTCTACCATCATGTATAGTGTAATAAACGCAAGCGTCCTTGTGCTTTAACTATAATAGTTCAGGGCAAAAGTGTGCTTTATTACACTATACATGGTGGTAGAGCGAACTGTATTTTTTAACTAATTACGTAATATTTTCCGTAATAAATAACATGGTAGCTTCCCTGAGGGCTGATAGTTAGTATTATTGTGAGAAATGCATGATGTACTTTAGAGGTGTGGTGTGATATAGTGCCTTTAAGATAAATCAACTTCTCAACGTGCTGAGAAACCCTGAGGCTAATACAATCCTACTGTGCGGACACATACTGTTCATCGTCTGCTGAGACCTGATCAAAGCGGAGGCGCTTCAGACTTCTTGGCGCTGACTGTCGTTTGTATGCGGAGAGACTCTCTGTGATGTTCCTCAGCTTCTCGGACGACTACAACAACATCATCATCAACAACATGTCAGTGTCAGACACACAGAACAAGAACATCGCATAGCATTGTCTGACTACTTAGAAAAACAACAACACACAAACTCGCCAACAACTATGTTTCAAACTCAATAACTGGGTGACAAATTCAGGATTTAATTTAACTTACTATATGCCCGGAGAGTGGAAGGCCGCAGGTTCGATCCCCGACCACGTCATACCAAAAGACGTTAAAATATGGTACTTGTTGGTCCCTGCCTGGCGCTCGGCATTAATGGGTACAACAAGGACTGGTCGGCTCGGAGTCAGTATAATGTGTCTGAGTGGGGTATTCATGCTTCACTGCGGCATGGTATCTCAGTGGGCTAGCACTATAAAACCAGCTTCAGTCTGGGCTAGTACAAGCAGACACACATACACATACACACGCATGCACGTCGTCATATGAGCGAAATATTCTCAAGCACAAAGTTAAACCCAATTTCACCTCACCTCACCTTGAGTTTAAATAACAGTTTTTGTAACATATTATCGATGACACAATATTCATGTCGAAAATGTTTGCATTTGTTCCCTTCAAGATATTTCAGATTATCAATCTTTTTAGCCAGATCTACTTATTGTTAAGTATTATCAATGTATATTTAGTTGGATGAACAACGAGCTTGTGACTTACTCCAAGACCTTCCCCGAAACTGTATAGCAGACTGCTCCTTGGCGTCAGCTGACTCGGTGAGGGCGGCAACTTGAATGGCGACTCCTTCAGCGGTGACACATAGAACCTCTTCCTGCCCTGAATACTGGTGAACATAAAATCAAAATGGGGTTTGCAATAAGATTCGAGGTTATAGCATATATGGGGAGACATCGGTGCTGCAGCCTGGATTTACTTGGAAATCCTACCTTTAGAAAATGTGCATCATGTAATTTTCTGTGTAAAATTGATATTTTATACTTATCCTGACTCATGTATTATTGCTTGTCTCCTTCCTTTCCCGAACGTTAGTGGAACACTTGTATCTCCTTTTTGAAGTTCCCTTTCAAAAAAGCAGACGTAAAATCACTACTCACCACGAGTTGTCTCCCTCTGGTTTTGGCGGGAAAACGGCGCCACCCGTCTTCCCACTCTTCACTCTCTCCGAATAGCAAGCCCGACACTTAGATTTGCTGGGAAATCCAAAGGGCCTAGCGGTGAGGTTGGGAGGGCTTACCTCATGAGTCAGGATAAGTATAAAATATCAATTTTACTCAGAAAATTACATATTTTTCCTTATCTTGACTCATGTATTATTGCTTGTAGAATCCGTCGGATCTGGTGGTAGGACAAGCCACTTCTGGATTCCAATTAGTGATTTACGTCTTGCATACCCCCCTATGGGAACTTCCTGGTAGCACTTCAATTTACTGCTAGGCTCTGCTGCTGCTGTAACCCTTTACTTCCAGCTTTCTCTGATGGGGGGACCACAATTGTTAACTTTTGGTCATTGCTTCTGTTAACATTTTTATGTGGATTTTGCAACTCCATCTCTTGATGCAAGCATCAAGTGGAGAAGCGACCCTTTTTATGTGCGAGTACGTCCTTACAAGTACTGGGTCTTATCACTTATGCTTGTCTGTCTTAGACGTGCATATGGACTCTAAAGCTGTAACTCTCCTGGGTGTAGGCTTTTTTGCAAGTCATGTGATAAAAGGGCGAGACTCCGTCTCAGCGCCTCTGTGGAACTGTCAATTGTTGTGCTACAACAAGTGGGCCGAAATGGTGAATGCCAGAGACGTCCTCGGTGGCAATGTCTCTCAGGTAGTGGTTGGGAAACACCATGTCCGATTTCCAGAAGCAGCCCTCCATTATCGTCGTGATAGAGCAATTCCCATGTAGAGTGAGTGTTGACGCCAGAGCTCTAATTTCATGTGGATTGGAGGCTCTTGGAGGATCAAGTCCTGCTGCTTTGTAGGCCCGTAGTATGACAGTTCTCATCCATATTGATATCGTGAGAGTGCGAGATCTCCGTCTGTGTGGCTGTCGATATAGGGATGAAAAGAGCGGCTTGAATTTTCGTCTCCTGGTCCTAGACCTTTGTAGGTAGACTTTTAATGCTCTTACTGGGCATAAGGATAGGTCCTGTGTATCCTGTGGCCCAAGGACTGATGATAGTGCTGGGATGTGGAATTGTCTGTCCGGTTGACCTGGCAGTTGATTCTTTGCTATAAAGTCCCATCTCAGTCCCATATATGCCGCGATGTTTTGATTTTTGTCAAATCGTGTCCTCTCAAAGTCTAGAGCATGTATTTCCGACATCCTTGCTGCTGTTGCTAAGGCGATCAGGAATAGAGTTTTCTCGTCAAGAACTCAAAAGATGTCCTATCTAATGGTTCATAAAGCGTCACTGGTGAGATGCTCAGAACTATGTTGAGGTCCTCCAGCTTTAAATCTCTGTTGTTGGTCCTCCAGTTTAAAAGCGTAAAGTAAGGCCAGTAACTCTGGTACCTTAGTCAGTTTTACACTCGTCCTCATAGTGATAACTGAGCTCAATGCTGCTAGTTATGTTGAGAGTGTTGACCCTTTTAACCGCTTCGTTTGTCTTAGGTGACAAAGATAGTCCGCCACTTGAGGGTGTGTCGCTTTTATGGCTGTGAAGCCTGTTTTCAAAGCGTAGGTCTCGAAGCTTCGCCATTTGTCGTCGTACAAGTTGACTTGTGTAAAGCTAGCGTGACTGCTTTCACTGCTCTGGCGGAATATCCTCTCTTATTCAAGCACGCCTTGATACGCTCCACGCGTGTAGCCGGAACACCTGTGGGTTGCCGTGTGCTTGCTTTGTGTGTGGATGTACTAGCAAGTTCGTCCTCTCTGGTAGTTGCAGTTGAGGCGGTCCTAGTTCTTGTATGAGAATGGGGAACCATATTCTCGCTGGCCAGTAAGGCGCGACCAAAATCAGTTGCAGGTTCCTCGTCTGTATGATTTTCTGCAACACTTTCGGTATTAGAGCTGGTGTTGGGAACGCGTAAGCGTTTAGTCCTTCCCAAGAGATGCTTAGAGCATCTGTTGCCCATGCTCGTGGATCTGGTATTGGAGAGACGAATGTTACCAGTTGATTGTTGAATCTTGTGGCAAATAAGTCTATTAGTGGCGCTCCTATCTCTTGTATGATCTGTTTGAAGATCTCTGGATGTAGCATCCATTCTGTTGGGGATGGCTGAGTTGGGCCGAGATAGTGCGTCTGCTATCACATTCTTGGCTCCTGGAATGTGGCATGCTTTTATGTGGATGTTCAGATTGTCTATTATGCTGAACAGTTGAAAGCAGAGGTTCAGAAGGTTCGCCGACCTTGTTGATCCTTGTCTGTTTATGTAGAACGCCACTGTGGAGTTGTCCGTGTGTACCGTTAGATGTGCATTCTTTAAAATGCTGGTCCAGTGGAGTATGGCGTTTATCACTGCTTTCATTTCCAGCATGTTGATGTGCAGATCTTTCTCCTCTATTGTCCATTTCCCAGCTGATACTTCGTTGTCGAGGTGTGCTCCCCAACCTTGGAGAGATGCGTCCACATAGAGATGGGTCTTGCACTCCGGCTCTGCTAAGTAGGTGCCTCCGCAAACATTCGATCTCTGAGTCCACCATAGTAGATATGGTTTTAGTCTGTCCGGGAGTCCGAAGGGGTCCTGATCGTCCAGATGTACATTCACGAAGACCTGTAGTGGGCGTAGTTGTAATCTCCCTCTGCGCGTCATATCCTGTGCTGATGTGAGGAGACCCAACAGGCTCTGCCACTGTCGTAGTGGCCACGGAGAGAGTAGAGCTTGCGATACCATCTGTTGTATCTTTAGCCAACGGTCCTCTGGTACTGTTATGCGGTTTTCTGTTGTGATGAGCCGAATTCCTAGGAACTGCAGGTCCTGTGTAGGCTCTAGTTCCGACTTGAGGAGATTCACTAGCCACCCTAGTTGAGTGAGAAGCCTGATGGTAAAGTCCAGCTGTAGTCTGAGATGACTGGGATCTTGATGAGCCTGAATCCCGTCGTCTAGGTAGAACGCACTGCGTAGACCTCGATGATGTAGGTATGTGACTATGGGCTTCGTCACTCTTGTAAACAACCAGGGGGCCGATGATATTCCAAATGGCAGGACTTTCCATTGGTAGTGTCGTCCGTCTAGTACGAATCTCAGGTACTTCCTTGATTCCGGATGTATAGGAATATGCAGGTATGCGTCCTGTAGATCTATGCTGGCCATGTGGTCCAACGGACGGACGAGATGTAGTAGTTGTGGTAGATGAATCATGCTGAACTTTGCTGGTTTGCGTAGATAATCTCTGTTGAATGTCCTCATGTTGTAAATTAGTCGGAACTTTTCTTTGGAGTTTTTCTTTGGTACGAGGAAAACTGGGGAGTAGAATCCTGGTGAGATCTGGTCCTGGTCTATCACCTCTATAGCGTCCTTCTCTAGTAGAGATGTGACCGCTTCTTGTAGCCTCTCTGTCCGATGGGTTGCAAAGTTGAACCTCTGTGGTGCGTTTGTTAGTGGAGGGGCTGCTTGTAGTTGTATGTGATATCCGTCTCTTAGGATGTTGGATACAAATGGATCTTGAAGAATTCCCCAGTTCTCCCAGTAGCGTTGTAGACGTCCACCCACTTGGGAAGGTTGAACAGGAACGGCTGGAGGGTGGAAGACTACAGTCGTTCCGAACCCGTCTTTCATCGTCTATAGCCTCTGGCGCCTCTGGGTGCCCTGCCTCGTCCGGGTCGTCCTCTACAGTTGCCGGATGGGCGACGAAAAGAATCCTTTCCTCCTTTGGAGGTCCCCATTTTCTTTTCTCTTGATTTCTGGATGCCTGCAAATTTGGATTTGCCAGAGTAGCGTTGGGACGTCTGTCTGATGACACTGGCTAGTGTATCAATGGACTTGATCAAGACTTCTCTAGATTCCTTTGTGACTTCCTTGGCGACCTCGTCAATCTCCCCTGCGAAGATGGATGTTGTAGACCATGGACCTCTGTACAGCGTCTTAGTGAAGCGTTCACTCCAGTTGCATGATGACAATAGTCCTTGTCTTCTAGCTAGCGTCAATGCTGCTGATATGGAAGATAGATGCTCCGACATAAATTGGTGGTCCTTTTTCTGCGTTAGTAGGGCAGAATAAATCATCCGGTCTTCCTCTGCAGTAGAGTTCTTAAACTTGGTGATGAGCGTCTCATTAACTGCCCTGGATCTGTTAAGTCCGAAGAATATCCTTCTGGTCATAGTGTCTATCTGTGCCAGCTTTTTGTCATCAATCTTGTAAGATTTGGTCCGGGAGTCGTTGATGATTTTATAGTTCTCATCTATCTCTTGTGCCTTCATGAACGGGTCCATGTTGTGTAGTGAGAACTTCTTAGGAGCCTGGAACTTCGTTGCCTTCCTGAAGGCTGCATCTAAATCCTCTGGTACTTCCGAGATGGGATCAATTGGAGGTAGAGTGATCGTGGCCACATCATCGTCCTTCATTAGGTACGTGAGTGCTTCATTCTCTTCCTTAGAGGGTGACGCTAGGTCCAGTCCATTAGCCATCCAATATTTTATCTCTGAGTCCGAAAATATGATACCGCCATCGTCCTCTGTATCATGTCCACTGGTATAAGAGATCGTTGACCATCCTTTGTTGGGGATCTGCGTGGGGATCTGCGTGGCGATCTACGTGGCGATCTACGTGGGGATGAGCATGTTGAACTACGTGTAGTTCTAAGAGGCGATCTGTAAGGCGACCTGCGTGTAGGTGAGAGTCTTCTAGTCCGGGATTGCCTTCCTGGCGATCTTGTTGTTGACGCTGTTGAAGATAATTCAGATAACCTTCGCGCAGGTGAGAGATTTTGTTGAGGGTATGAGTCCCGAGACGTCTCTCTCGACCTTCTAGGTGGTGTAGGTTTCTTTCTCTGCCAAGTGGGTAGCCTGCGTGAAGGTTCTTTATTAGCCTCATCATCTGATGACGATCTCATTGGTTCTGAAGAGCATGCCGTCCTGCGCGCAGGTTTGCTGACGTCATGAAGCGAAGATCTGCTCTTCGTCCTAGAGCTAGATTCTCTGGTGGGCCTCTCAGATGTATCATCAGTGTGGGGTCGTTCGTGCAGGTCTGGATCCTCTCTGAGGTTGATGACTTGAGCATGAGAGCCGCCTGGCTGTCCATCATGCGAGGTTCTTTCCTGCGCGAAGCGCTTCTCCATCATCTCCATCATCTGTTGAGAGAATTGCTGCATGAAGGTCCCAGGGTTGAATGTCTGCGACAATTGTAGTGATGTCGTATCTGAGATGGTAGCGATATGGTCCAGGGATCGCTGTGCCTCATGGATCTCTGCTGTCAGTGTAAAAGGTAACTCGGACTGCGTAGATAGGGCTACTGACGTTACCGTTGCTGAGGCCTGCTTCCTTTTCTTATGCTGTATCTGTGGGATGATCAGCAGCGGCTCATCATAAAATCCTCTCTCTTCCATCGGGACGATTTTGGCCAAAAAAGTCCTCGTAATCTGCGAAGAACTCCCCGTAGAGCTGCTTGAAATCTTAGGGGTGTAAGGCTTCTTCTGCGACGAAGATGGCCCCTTCTTCTTCGTATGGGTTGAGGAGTTGTCCGATGTAGAAGACCTTTTCTTCGGTGTAATGGCGGACAACATCCCACGCCCATCTTCAGAGGACGCCTCCGGCAGGTCACTGGATGGAAGTATGTCGTCTGACAATGATGGACAGCTCTTGAGGGACTCAGCCGGTTTATCCATGACTTGCAAAAGTCATCTGGATTTATCCTTAGCACACCTAAGTACAGAGAAATAATAATTATTAAATTGAATTTGTGTAAATTGCTGACATAAGTTACAGCGAGAGCTGGAAGTACATATTGTTGTGCAACTGGGGCACAGTAAATGCGGGTCTGCAGCAGATAACCTAAACCTACAACGAAAACAGGTTTTCATGAAATGTAAACAACTGAACAATCACGTAAAAAACCGTGAATAAACAGTCAAATTACGAATAAATTTCAAACCATATTGTAGAAGGATACTCCCTAAAGCCTTATAAAGGTAACTTATAGGGAAATAACTAATTAATCAAAGGATATAGTGCCGTATTGGAGACACAGGCGCTCTCCCAACCGTCCACTAGGGCGAAGAAGGAGAGAGTGAAGCATGGGAAGACGGGTGGCGCCGTTTTCCCGCCAAAACCAGAGGGACACAACTCGTGGTGAGTAGTGATTTTACGTCTGCTTTTTTTTAAAGGGAGCTTCAAAAAGGAGATACAAGTGTTCCACTAACGTTCGGGAAAGGAAGGAGACAAGCAATAATACATGAGTCAGGATAAGGAAAAATAATAGCTTTACGTTTCTACCATCGATAAATCGCTATCAGAGTCTCAACAATTGAATGCATCGATAGTTTGATGCATCCTTACAGCCCTAATTAATTGGCAGTTGCTTGTAGCTCCTTATTTGTTATGGAGGGATGTTTGCTGTTCTGATGTTTTGGTGCCCTTATGGCACGCCTAATTCTTTTTTAGACATACCTCACCTTTAGTCATTTAATCCCCAATTCAAAACACTTGCGCAAATGACAAACAAGCAAAAACATTTATTAACTTTACCGCCCAGGAAATCACTGGAACTATGATGGATGATGTAAAGAAATCTGGTTGTTTTTCCATTAAGAGTTTTGGGAGTACTGATAGTTTGGTTATTGAAGAGGAAATTGTGTATGTTAGATATATTGAACAAGATAACCTGTCCCACAATTCTTAGCTATTAAAGGTGCTGGGACAGCAGAACAAATGAAGCTTAAGAAAACCATTTTAAACAGAAGACATATCAGTGATAACAGAAAACAGGTTACATTTGTACAACAAATTTCATGATCATCATCATTGCTACAGTCATCTATTCTGAAAACATGTGAGTTACCTGCTCTTGGCTGTAGGGGGCCCTGTGAGGGGCCCTAAAGGGATGGTTTCACTAAACATAACGAGTTTTTAGTTGGTAAAATATTTTACTGAAATGTTGTTACAACTGTCGTAGGTTTTTTAAAATGGACATTTTAATGCTTATATGTACCCCAAGGAGGACTTCTTCTGAAAAAGAAATGTGGGCACACTTCTAAGGCACACTTAGAAAAAAAGTATTTCTATCCCTGTAGTGTTATAATGGGTATAACGGGTAGCCGGGTCGGGTCGGGTAATAGGGGGTCAGGTTCCCAGGTAAGAAATTTGGACCCGTCCCAGCCCTAGTTCATCCCCACCACCCCTTGCTATCAATTACACGCGCCCCCCCGACACACACAGGACAACCCTGCCTACCTGTACGCTGGGGAGGCAGTGCGGGGTGACATCATCTGCTTTGGAACTGGAGATAGTGTCGGGGCCTGAAAATACAAACAATTGTCAGATTGACATGAACAAGGTGAGTGTGGGAGCAGCTTGAAAGGCTGGTGACAGACAAAAGTATTTAATTCCGTGACCCGAAATCACTGAAAAGTTAGGCTTGATCATGACTGACACAAATATTTATCAGTGATTGAGTGAATGCTCCATATCATCATCTATATCATCATCTATATCATCACCATCATCATCATCTATATCATCACCATCATCATCATCTATATCATCACCATCATCATCATCTATATCATCACCATCATCATCATCTATATCATCACCATCATCATCATCTATATCATCACCATCATCATCTATATCACAATCATCATCTAGGTCATCACCATCATCATCTAGATCATCACCATCATCATCATCTATATCATCACCATCATCATCTAGATCATCACCATCATCATCTATATCATCATCATCATCTATATCATCACCATCATCATCTATATCACAATCATCATCTAGGTCATCACCATCATCATCTCGATCATCACCATCATCATCATCTATATCATCACCATCATCATCTATATCACAATCATCATCTAGGTCATCACCATCATCATCTAGATCATCACCATCATCATCATCTATATCATCACCATCATCATCTAGATCATCACCATCATCATCATCTATATCATCACCATCATCATCATCTATATCATCACCATCATCATCTATATCACAATCATCATCTAGGTCATCACCATCATCATCTAGATCATCACCATCATCATCATCTATATCATCACCATCATCATCTAGATCATCACCATCATCATCTATATCATCATCATCATCTATATCATCATCATATAATAATAATAATAAATGTGAACTTATAATGCGCCTTTTCCATGCACAAGGCCCATGCTCAAAGCGCTAACAAAGTGAGTGGATAATATACATATATACAATAAGGGACTAGTTGCTATTCATAATGCAGTGAAAACAGATGAGTCTTGAGAAGTCGTTTGAAGGAATAAAAGTCAACTGCTGATTTAATGGTGATAGGGAGAGAGTTCCAGAGTAGAGGGGCAGAGCAGACAAAGGATTTCCTTCCAAAAGTTTGCAGTTTGAACCGAGGCACAGAGAGTAGGTTCAGATTTTGAGAACGGAGCTGTCTTTCTGGAGTGTACGGGGTAAGAAGTTCTTTCAAGTATTCTGGGCCTATGCCATTGAGGCATTTGTAGACAAAACACAATATTTTAAAGTCAATTCTTGATTTAACAGGCAGCCAGTGGAGGTTTTTCATGACAGGTGTTATGTGTGAGCGCTTTGAAGTTCTGCTTATGATTCGGGAGGCTGTATTTTGGACATTTTGCAATTTTGATAGCAGCTTCTGAGAAATACCAAAAAGGAGGCTATTGCAGTAATCAATTCTTGATATAACAAGTCCCTGGACCAGACCGTGTGCTGCATCACGACTGATGAGATGGCGTATTCTGCCAATGGCTCGTAGATGAAAGAAGCATATCCTGCAGAGTTGATTTACATGAGTGTCCATCGCCAGGTGTGAGTCAAGTGTAACTCCAATCTATATCTCATCATCTATATCATCATCATCATCATCTATATCATCGTCCGCCCGGAGAGCGGAAGGTCGCAGGTTCGATCCCCGACCGCGTCATACCAAAAGACGTTAAAATATGGTACTTGTTGGTCCCTGCCTGGCACTCGGCATTAATGGGTACAACAAGGACTGGTCGGCTCGGAGTCAGTATAATGTGTCTGAGTGGGGTATTCATGCTTCACTGCGGCATGGTATCTCAGTGGGCTAGCACTATAAAACCAGCTTAAGTCTGGGCTAGTACAAGCAGCCGCACATACACATACACACGCATGCACGTCGTCATATGAGCGAAATATTCTCAAGCACGATGTAAAACCCAATTTCACCTCACCTCACCTCTATATCATCACCATCATCAGCATCTATATCATCACCATCATCATCTATATCATCACCATCAGCATCTAGATCATCAGCATCTAGATCATCACCATCATCATCTAGATCATCACCATCATTATCAATATCATCATCTATATCATCACCATCATCATCTAGATCATCACCATCATCATCTAGATCATCACCATCATTATCAATATCATCATCATCATCTATATCATCACCATCATCATCTAGATCATCACCATCATCATCTATATCATCACCATCATTATCAATATCATCATCATCATCTATATCATCACCATCATCATCTAGATCATCACCATCATCTATATCATCACCATCATCATCTAGATCATCACCATCATCATCAATATCACCATCATCATCTATATCATCACCATCATCATCAATATCATCATCATCATCTATATCATCACCATCAACATCTAGATCATCACCATCATCATCATCTAGATCATCACCATCATCATCTAGATCATCACCATCATCATCTATATCATCACCATCATCTATATCATCACCATCATCATCTATCATCACCATCATCATCTATATCATCACCATCATCATCATCTATATCATCACCACCATCATCTATATCATCACCATCATCATCTATATCACCATCAGCAGCAACATCATCACCTACATGAGCACAATGTCTGGGCACAATGACAAGCGATGAAAAAAACTTTCACAGAAGCCTGACCTCTTGGGTTTCCATGCATGTCAACTGGACTTTATTTGTTGTGTAATAATGCACTTGGCAACTTTTCCAGCTATGTGACAGTTGTCCATAAATAATTGAGTTTGGACCAGACAATCCAGTGATTGACATTATGAGTATCAGCATGTGATGGGCTAAAATGATTAGCATCAAACAAGGCAGCACGCCAGATACCCGACTACTTTATTTGACAAGAAACTTGGTTGAAGGAAAACTGATTTCTATGGATAGTCAACTTCTTTATTGCAATGAGTACGACGTTTCGGTGTAGGTACTAACACCGTTATCAAGCAAGTGATACAACAACTGAAGCAAGGAGAATATATACATAGCTGCATAGTGAGTATATACAATTAACAAGGTTGATGTACATTGGATATTTGATAAGTGATTACAGCAGAGGAGGTTGATGTACAGAGTGATTGATTGTGATTAGAGTTGAGTTTATACAATTGATGAGTTGACGTACAATAGTTGTGATTACAAGCACAAAGGGGGGAGCATGGAAGCCAGATGGACAAAGGAGGCAGGGAAGGATTACTGGTGGTGGTCTTTGATTAGGTGGTGATAGGCTGACGAGATGAAATAATAAATAAAGAAGTTGACTATCCATAGAGATCAGTTTTCCTTCATCTTCACAACTTCTAAAATGCCTCTCAAAGAAGAAACTAGGTTGCAAAAAGCAATGATGAAGATCTCATTGTCAAGATGTAAGTCTAGGCTGCTGAAGACACTACTAATTCAGACCTCCATGCAATGCCATTTGGTCAAATGTAACTTATGTTTTATTTTGGAGTACACTTTCTCAGTAAAATACTGAACTACTTTGAATCGAGTCCCATCCGAGATTAAAACTTCAGCATAAGACACTAAAGTACCCACAGAGAAACTCTTCCTGAAAGGCCCAAGATTGAACCAGCACTTTACTGAGAAGGTGTAACCCCAAATATGACATTTTACTGACCTCCACAAGCAACAAGCATGGGTTGCTGAAGATCAGCAAGTCGGACCACTGCAGCGACTTACCATGGGCCTGTTGACTGAGAACTGAAGAATGTAGGTCTTCATATTCTGCATGAAAACTTTGTTGTAGAATCCGATGATAGAGTCGAACTCACTCCCATGAATGAAGGCACTCTTGTACACCTACAGCAGAGAAAACAACAGACGTAATCTCACCTCAAGTGTATGAAGGCACTCTTGTACACCTAGAGCAGAGAAAACAACAGACGTAATCTCACGTCAAGTGTATGAAGGCACTCTTGTAAACCTACAGCAGAGAAAACAACAATCTCAAGTCTCAAACAAGAAGACAAAGTCATCAATATCCCAACAATGGTAAAATACTCTTCAGGAATATGTCAACTAGTTATGATGTCAAAATTATGTCACATTGTTCTTCACATTATTCTAATGAAAACATACATATGTAATCTACTAATATACGAGCATGCTTGTATCAACAACAGACTGCCTGAGTGCTTCCATGTTTTGATGTACCTCAGTAATGCTGATACAGAAATAGAGTGATACTGTTGAAAACCCACAAAGTGGAATTACAGCACTGAAAGATTTTAAAGTTTTGCTCCTGAAAACAGAACTACCGCCAATTTCAGTCAATGGAGAACTTGTTGCCAAGGAAATGCAAAAATTATTTTATTCCGAAATCCAAAACTAGCAAAAGGCACCAGTACCAGTTTACCACCAGGCTATGTATGTGCCAGGTTTCGTGAAGAAACTCTGAATGGTTTTAGAGTTCTGCTCCGGAAAAGACCATCTACCACCAAAAAGAAAACCAACACCCATTTCAGTCAAAAGTAAAACTTGTTGCCATGGAAACACAAAACATATTTTATTTAGAAATCCAAAACTACCAAAAGTCACCAGTTCACTAAAAGACCTATCTATGTGCCAAGTTTGGTGAAGAAACTTTGAACGGTTTTAGAGTTCTGCTCCGGGAAAGACGAATTTTCATGGATGGACATACGGACCCACAGAGTCCAAAATAATACCCTTCGCAAAACGCGTTGTGTGGATATTAACCAAATAATATGAATAACAATGCTGATGGCAAGGACAGGCGCCGTGTCGGTGTATAAGAACCTCACAGGGACAATGGTTGCATTTACCGATTGATCCACATTTGCTAAGTTCCTGTACATGTGGACGATCGTCTTGAACTTGATCTCCTTCTCAACCACCTTGCAGATCCCGTACAGCGAACACATCATGATCTACAACATCAACCACACTATTATCACATCACAGTACTTGTTAGAACATATATGGTAACTTTGACAGATGTCAGGTGAGATATATCTTATGCCATGCCCACTTACTGTCTGGACCAAACAATCCAGTGATCAACAGCATGAGCATCGATCTATGCAATAGGGATACAATGACATGTGTCAACCAAGTCAGTGATTTTGACCACCCGATCCCATTAGTCACCTCTTTGGATTGATTGATTTGATTGATTGATTGATTAACGCCGCACACAGCAATATTCCAGCCATAGGTGATGGTTTGTAAATAATCAAGTCTGGACCACACAATCCAGTGAGCAATAGCATGAGCATCGATCTACGCAATAGGGATACGATGACATGTGTCAATTAAGTCAGAGAGCCTGACTACCCAATCCCAATAGTTGCCTCTTACGACAAGCATGGGTTACTGAAGACCAATTCTAAAATGGATCTTCAAGGGTCCACCTCTTTACGCCAAGTATGGGTTGCTAAAGACCAATTCTAACCTGGATCTTCATGGGTAAACTGAAAACCAGCCATCATCCTGGCCAAACTGAACACTGCATATAAAGTATAATTGTGAAAAAAGGCATTAAATCAAGTCACCACCAACCTGGTCGATGTGTCTGTTTTTCATCAGTGCTGGCTTGTTAGTGATGCAGTATTCAAAACATGTCCAGATCTTTTGTTGCTGAAGGAAACATTTTAACTTTTAACTGAGTTCAAAATCATGACAGTCCAATTGGACATTATGATAGGGACTTTCAAGCAAGCAGTTGCTACTGGCAACCTGCACAGGGACATAGGCAAGAGCACAATTCTACACTTGGAATTCTGCTATGAGGAACCATGTCATGTCTTCTAACCAGGGTGAAGTAGGTTGTGTATACTCATTGGGAACCTACACAGGGAATTCTACTGAAGTGAGGTAAGTCGTCTAATCCCAGGATCCCTACACTGTCATTTTTGGAGAAAGGTCATGCCTACTCACATGGGACGTACACTGAGAATTCTATGAGATAGGTTGTGCCTACTCACTTGGGAAGTACACTGAGAATTCTAGGAGATAGGTTGTGCCTACTCACTTGGGACATACACTGGGAATTCTAGGAGATAGGTTGTGCCTACTCACTTGGGACGTACACTGAGAATTCTGAGATAGGTTGTGCCTACTCACTTACACTGAGAATTCTGAGATAGGTTGTGCCTACTCACTTGGGACTTACACTGACCATTCTGAGATAGGTTGTGCCTACTCACTTACACTGAGAATTCTGAGAGAGGTTGTGCCTACTCACTTGGGACGTACACTGAGAATTCTAGGAGATAGGTTGCTTGCCTACTCAATCTGGGAGGAACCTACATTTAGGAGATAGGTTGCTACTACTCAATCGAACTCACACAGGGAATTTTAACAGAGAGGTTGTGCCTACTCAATCGAACCTACACTGGCAATTCTAACAGAGGGTTGCCTTCTCACTTGGAAGTACACTGAGAATTCTAACAGAGGTTCAAGCGAGACCACTCAATCGGAACCTACACCTATTCTCGGAGATGCCTACTCACCACATCCTTGGTCACTTCCAGCATGGTGCACAACTTCTGGAGTTTGTGAAATCCTGTCCTCCCAACTGAAACAAGAGAAGTCTTTCAGCATTCCTCCATCACGCTTCTATGCTTGTCGAACAATGCTCTCTAACCCACAACTACAAGAGTTTACACCCTGGTGCACCAGTCTTCATACAACGATATGGTTCATCATACATTTTATTCCTTTATAGATACAAGATCATAAACTTGCTAAAAATGTTACTACTACTGAAGGACACTCCCATTCCCATACCTGAAATCCCATACCTGCTGCAAACCCGTTTAAACGCGGGATAGAATTGATCTTCATTAACCCATGCTTGTCGCAAGAGTCGACTAAGGGGATCGGGTGGTCAGACTCGCCGACTTGGTTGACACATGTCATCATATTCCAATTTCGTAGATCAATGCTCATGCTGTTGATCACTGCATTGTCTGGTCCAGACTCGATATCTACAGGCTGCCGCCATATAGCTGGAATATTGCTGAGATTTTTCTATGATAGAGATTTTGAAATTATTGGGGTTATTGGAAATTTCACAGATAAATGTTTTCTGACCTTTGCTGAAGAAAAGGTTGAGAGACTGAGATCGCCTTGGTGCTGGAGCGGACGCTCCATCTTGACCGCCCGGATTCCCAGCTCCTCTGGAGGAAGGACTGGAGTTCACAGGAAAGGTGCCATTTGTTGCTGATGGAGGAATGATACCTGACCGTGGATGCATAGGTGAAAGATACCTGTCGGGGAAGAATGAAGGGCTGTACAGGAAGTGATACATTGCATACATATTGCATACTAAATATATTGCACATGCTGTTACGTGATTTTCGAATTCAAAGTTCCACAATAGAAAATGAATGAATGAATGAATGAATGAATGAATGCCAATCCTCATCATGTATAACAATGTCACTTTAAGGTTAAAAACTCTGTGATGACAATTACAGCAGAGTATGTAATTTTTATGATAAAATTAATATTTTATACTTATCCTGACTCATGATTATTTGCTTTCTCATCCTCTCTTCCAAACGGTCAAGTGGAAACTTGAATCCTTTCAATTTCCCTTGAAGCAAACGTACAAGCACTCACCCTCAATTACCTCCATTGGTTTCCCGCCAAAACCGGCACATGACCTCGCCATGCTTTGGTCCTCACTCTCGCCGATATATGCCCCTCACAGGTCTACAGGGAAACCCGTGTGGTGAGAGGGGGCGGTTGGGAGGGCTTCATCTCATGAGTCAGGATAAGTATAAAATATTAATTTCATCATAAAAATTACATATATTTTCCTTATCCTGACTTATTTGCTTACTGAATCCAACAGAAAGGTGGTGGGTCAGCCACCTACGGGATTCCCTGCATGATTGTATTCACATCAGCGTTCGCTTGATTTACCCCCCTGGGAATTTTCTTCTTCTGCGGCTAACTTCAATATCTTCTTGATGCTAATTGGGAGGACCACCTTCTTATACATACGTATTAGAAGTAAACTACTTAGGATTTAGTATACTAGACGTTGTGTTGTCTAGATATTCTGCAACGATCCAATATGTTTACGGTAAGAACATTACCAAAACTGGTATCACGACCCATCTGTTAAGGCAAGAACATTACCATAACTGAGTCTATGTATCACTCATGCGCTGTCTTATCTCGTAAGACAGGGGAACATGGACTCTCAGCCGGTGGCAATGGAACAGTTGCCTGGCGTCAACGAGTCTGCATGACAAGGGTGAGATTCTTCATCGTCTGGCCGGCATAATGAGTTGCTGCGCTACGACTAGAGGGCCGTGGAGATCTCTTTCAGATAGTGGTTAGCGAAGACAGTGTCTGACTTCCAAAAGCAGCCTTCCATTATAGATGATATTGAGCAATTTCCATGTAGGGCGAGTGTCGAGGCCAACGCTCTTACTTCATGTGGGTTAGATGCTCTTGGAGGCTCTAACCCTGCTGCTTTGTAGGCTCTTAGGATCACCGCTCTGATCCAAAAGGAGACCGTAGTACGCGAGACTTCTACCGTCGTAGCGGGTGATAGCGGGATAAATAGACGCTTGAACTTCCTCCTTCTCATATCAGATCTCTCCAAGTAGATTTTCAGCGCTCTGACCGGGAATAAAGATAGATCTTGAGAGTCCTGTGGACCCAGGATGGTTGATAATGCCAGAACGTAGAATTGACGATCCGGTTGTCCCTGTAGCTGGTTCTTGGCTATAAAGTCCCATCTAAGGCCCAGATTGACTGCTTCCCTTCTTCCTGTGTCGAATCTCGTACGGTTGAAGTCAAGGGCGTGTATCTCTGACATCCGAGCTGCAGTAGCCAAGGCAAGGAGGAATATTGTCTTTTGAGTTAATAACTCAAATGTCGCCTGTCAGCAGCTCATATACCTCACTGATGAGGTTCTGTAGTACTATGTTGAGGTCCCAAGCTGGTGCCCTGAACTTCTGTTGTTGATCTTCTAACTTGAAAGATCTCAGCAGGGCTACAAGTTCAGGCACCTTGGTCAACTTCACCCCTGTCTTCATGATGATGACCATGGTGATGACCGAGCTGATTGCCACAAGGTAAGTAGACAATGTGGAACCCTTCAGATGTCTAGTGGACTCAAATGACACAAGTAATCTGTTACTTGTGGATTAGTCGCTCTTCTGGCCGTGAACCCTTGTCGAACAGCATACTGTTCAAAGCTTCTCCACTTGTCATCATACAGGTTACATGTAGATCTACGTAGAGCCAAGGTTACAGCCTTGGCTGCTCTAGTGCAGTATCCTCAACTCTTCAAGCAGTATGTGATATGCTCCATACGTGTAACTGGAACACTTTTGGGTCGCCATGACGCTGCTTGGTGTGAGGAAGGACGAGTAGATTCGGCCAGTCTGGGAGTCGTAGTACTGGTTCGCCGTGAAGATCTATGAGGTCTGGGAACCATAGTCTCGCTGGTCAGTAAGGCGCTACCAAAGTCAATTGTAGGACCCTCGTCCGCTGATCTTGCGTAGTACTTGTGGTAGTAGGATTGGTGGAGGGAAGGCGTATTCTCTGATATGGCTAAGGCGTCGACAGCCCATGCCAGCGGGTCTGGCACTGGCGAGACGAACGTTGTCACCTGGTTGAAATGGGTCGCAAACAGATCTATGAGAGGGCGGCCGAGGTGGGCTGTTATCCACTGGAACGCCTTCGGATGTAACTTCCACTCTGTGGGAGACGGACGTACTGGTCTGGATAGAGCGTCTGCTAGTCCGTTCCTTGCCCCTCGGATGTGGCAAGCCCTCATCTTCAGGTTGATTTCATCTGCGATGTCGAATAGCTGGAACGTCAGTTGAAGCAGAGGCGCTGATCTCGTGGACCCTTGCAGATTTATGTAAAAAGGCCACCGTGGAGTTGTCTGTGTGTATCATCAGTACCTGATCTGTTAACTGCGCCGCCCAATGTAGTACTGCTTCTGTTACTGCTTTCAGTTCTAGCTGATTGATGTGCAGATCTTCTCTGTTTGTGACCACAGCCCTGCTGTAACTTCGTTGTTGAGATGTGCCCCCCCAGCCTTGGAGGGACGCATCCACGTAGAGATGTCTGTTGTAATTTGGCTCTCTCAAATAGGTTCTGCCGCAAACATTCGACCTTACTGTCCACCAAAGCAGGAATTGCTTTAGATGTTGTGGGATGGCGAACTTCTGGACATTGTCTAGATGAGCTATCAGGAACCTCTGTAGCGGATGAAGTTGCAGTCTTCCTCTGCGGGTGAGAGCCTGTGCCGACGTCAGTAGACCCAAGATTCGCTGCCACGTACTTGTCTCGCTGTAGCTGAGGATACTTGAAGACCAACAGTTGATCTGTCAACGGTGGCGTCGACTGTAACTGGATGCTGTAGCCCTCTCGTAAGACTTCTGTGACGTAGTCGTCCTGTAGTACTCTCCAATTTTCCCAGTATAGACCCAGACGTCCAGCAGCGGATGACGGTTTTACAGGAACGGCTGGGGGTGGAAGCGCTCCGAACCTGCCCTTCAGTAACGGGATCTCCTGCCGGCGCCGGAGGCCCGTCCTCAGCCTGAGTAACTTCTAGTATTACTGGGATGACGAAAGGATCCCGTGTTGCCGCCACGTGTAGTCGGGAACTTCTTCTCTTTGACTCTCTGTATACCAGAGAAGCAGGATCTTAGTTGACTGCACTGAGTTGATTGACGCACCATTGTGTTCATCGTCTGTATGGACTTGATCAACATCAAGTCTTTGGAGTCTTGAGATACTTCACGTGACAACTGCTGGATGCCGCCATCAAACAGAGTAGGCACTGCCCAAGGCTTCCTAAGTAGAGGCTTGGTGTAGACATCTGGCCACCTACAGGAACGTAGCAGAGTGATGCCCGCCGATGTAGAAGCCAAGTGATCGGAGATAAACTCCTGATCCTTGCGCTGGACAACTAGTGTAGACCGGATCATCTTTTCTTCCTCCGTCTTAGGATTCTTGAAAGCGTACATCAGCGCCTAGTTGATGGCTCTAGACCATGCTAACCCGTAAAAGGCCCTACGGGTTGTCGTATCAAGCTGCGCCAATCTCTTGTCTTCTACCTTGTAACTGCGAGACTTCGAGTCAGTGAACAGGTAGAAATCTTCATCAACCTCAGGCGCCTTGTCGAACTGACTCATGTTGTGATGCCGGAACCATCTGCGGAGTATATTGCCCTTGTGTCTTCGAGGCCTTCTCAAAGGCTGCTTTCAGGTTGTCTGCTACCTGGGCAATGGGCTTCATCGGCGGGATAGTAATCGATTCGTAGTCATCATCCTTCATACAGTACGTCTCAGCAGGACTAGCATCTTTGGACGGAGACGATAACGGGAGACCATCAGCCACCCACGCCAGCATCTCAGCTTCAGTGAAGACTAGGTCATCATCTTCAGTATGCTGCCCCTCATCTGCCAGGCCGTGATGTCACGGTCTAATCTCATCTCCATCGCCTGATGGTATCAGCAAAGTCTTCAGCGTTGAGGACCTCTGTGTTGGTAATCGGATGCTGCTGCGGGACTACTGCAACTGACTCATCTGTCAACATCGTTGATGGGGGAGCGTTTGCAAACGCTAATGGGTTCCAGCCTGGAACCATCTGCTTCAGCACCAGGTACAACAACATCTGTTGATGAACGCTGCATAAGGGTATGTAGCGAAGACCTTGACGATCTACCAGAGTGGGACGATCTAGATGAATGCCTGGATGACGAGGTCTGCTTCCCTGAAGAAGCCGCCTTGTGTTTCTTATGTTGCGATGCCGTCTCTGCCGGAGGGGACTTCCTTTTACTTACAGTGCGCGGAGATACCTTCCCCCGTACGGGTTACGTCGCAGACTTCGACTGGGATGACATCGTATATCAGCGTAGCTTAAAACATAGTCACAGCAACTCACAACCCTCACAACTTCATCACTTTCTCACGCAGGCTGGTTAAACTCTGCCAACAGGTTGTGTAATTTTACAAGTCAAATTTTCTCAATTCAATTAATATATGAAGTCACAAATTCAATATATACACATATGATTATACACAATAATCAACATCAAGACATATTCAAACCATTAACCAGCCAAGAAGAACACCCAGGGTGTAATTCAAGCGTTGAGACGTGATGGATCACTGTTTACACATACATTTGTAAACAGACAGTCATCTGAAAACGGAGTAAAATGTGAATTAATTTGACACGAATTGTACAAATTTTGTTAATAATATGATAAATAACATACTAATAACCACATTCACTGTAGAATTTGTGCTACATATCCAAAATATTTGAAGTTATAAGCTGCGAAAGGACCCTGAAGTGACCGCCCAACCGTCTGCTAGGACGATAGAGGAGAGAGTGAGGACCAAAGCATGGCGAGGTCATGTGCCGGTTTTGGCGGGAAACCAAGGGAGGTAATTGAGGGTGAGTGATTGTACGTTCGCTTCAAGGGAATTGAAAGGATTCAAGTTTCCACTTGACCGTTCGGAAGAGAGAGCAAATAATCATGAGTCAGGATAAGGAAAAATAATCTTTTTTTATAAATTCAATATCCTTACGACAAAAATGGCTAGAGCAGGCACCTCAGCAAATAAGCAGCAAAAGGAGATATAAGTGGTGGATGGGCTGATATTAAAGTATTTTAACCAGTTATAGTGGACAAACTATACCTCAATCTCATTTCCTGAACATTATAGTTCATTTCTGAGCAAAAATGCATTATCGAAATTCCTTCTTTCAGACAAAACAATATTCTCAGACAAAATCTGATTATTTACAGACTGCCGCCATATACTTGGAACATTGCTGAGTGCTCAGTTAAAGAACCAGCAACCCATGCTTGTCATAAAAGGCGACTAACGGGAGCTGACTTGGTTGACCACATGTCATCTTATCTCAGTTGTGTGATTGATGTTCATGCTGTTGATCACTGGATTGTCTGGTCCAGACTCGATTATTTACAGAATTGCCACCATAAACCTGGGCCTAGATTTTCAAAGCTCTCTTAGCGCTAAGATAGTCTTAAGTGCCATACATTAACATTAACTTACGACTATCTTAGCGTTAAAAGAGCTTCGGAAATCTAGGCCTTGGAACATTGCAGAGTGCTGCGTTAAACAACCAGCCAACCAACCATCCCCCAGCCCATAACACCAAGCCTCCCTCCAAACATCTGCCCGTCAAAACATACAGTCAGACCCTTTAAATAATCTACAAATGTATTCAGCGAACAGGATCTCCTCTTGTCGATCTACATCACGAATCTACATTCTCACATGTCTGCAGCTGTGTTTGTGTTGTGGGAGTTTGGAGACGAAGTTGACGGAGACTGCGGTTGTGTCATCATGATGTCCGAGTTTTCGATAGCACTAAATAACGATGATCCCTGTGAACGAGAGAGAAAACTTACAGTAAAACAAGGGCAGATTTTTAAAATTTGTCCTTACACCAAAAACTAGCATGAAATATAGGAGTGAGTAGGTGAGTGAGTTAAGATTTTTCTTCACATCAGCAGTATTTCAGCCATACCATGATAAAACAAGTTTTATGGAAAGATAGGAAAGACAATCTATAGTTTGTTACAATGCCTAACTGTGATGCACTGGCGAAAGAGATCAATAATTGGTAATATCTTTGATCATCAATTTGAAAAATATCTTACATAAATATTTTGATGAAATACATTTATAAATTACACACAAAATCGACAGTTATGTTTTTATTCATGGCCGTATCAAGATCAGGTTCAATTTGTGTTAAGGGGTGACATTACTGGAATATTGTTAGAAATCACTGCATGTGTCCCCTATCACCAGTAAGTTGAAATATTTTGATTTCTTTTGGACCTCTTATCTTAATTTTCCTCAAAATGCTTTCAGCGATACTTAATGATATCCGATCAATATTTTGTGAATGATTATTTATGTCTAGAATCTGTATCAATAGGCAGCCTACATTATAATAGGCAGCCTACATTATACAAACCTCTTTCCAAGCAATGCTCTCCAAGATCTGTGTCTCAACCCACTGCAAGTGCTGAAGTATTAAAACAACATGTTTGTTTGTTTGTTCATTGACAAAGCAACCAACAATCTTACACATCTATCCCAGCGGCCCTTCACACTCTGGCGCAGTGATGACCTAGCATTACATCACTGCCACAGGCTAATTTGAATATCATGTGACCGTATTTTTCTCTTGTTTGTACACAAACACGCATATTCGTAAATACTGAAAAGACTGGCCTAACGCAAGCTTTTCTCCATCCTCTTTATAATGTATTATATTGTTACATAATTATTATTCTACAACTGCAACAGTAAGCTTCATTACAATATATATTTATATATCGAACAAGCTGCATCGTTTGCTCTCAGACAGCTTCGATGACAGCACGTGGAGCCGTAAAGCCCATTTAGCCACTAGTCAAGACGAAGTCCAAGGTTCAATTCCCCTCATGGGTATAATGTATGGAACCAATTTCTTGTGCGCCCCGCCGGCATAAAGCTAAACTCACTCATTCAACTCACTGTTTAATATACACTAAGCACAAACTTTGATAATTTCTCTGGTGAGCTTGGGTTCCGCTCGGATGTAGCTCTCCAGCACTTTGAAGAAGTCGAAGGCCTGGAGATTGAACACATTCAGCACCCACGGGAAGCAGAACTGGGAGTCTTCCCGACCAATCTCACCGAGGGAGGGATTGCCTGGAACACAAGGCATAGAACTGTAACATCCGTACTAGGGGACTACTTTCCTTGTAGCTCTAACATATGTACTAGGGGAGTACGTCTGTCATATGGACTACTTTCTTTGTAGCTCTAATGTCTGTCATAGGGACTACTTTCTTTGTAGCTCTAATGTCTGTCATAGGGACTACTTATCGTATACCTCTAATATTTGTACAAGGGGTCAACTTTCTCTGTAGCTCGAACTTCTGTACTGCAAAGACAACTTTCTCTGCAGCTCTTGCATCTGTACCAGGGGAACTATTTTTCGTAGCACAAACACCTGTACATGGGGACTACTTTCCTTGTTGCTCTAACATCTTTACGGGGGTCTACTTTCTCTGTAGCTGTAACATCTATGCAAGGGAACTACTTTCTTTGAAGCTCTAATATCCATACTAGGGAACTAATTTCTCTGTAGCTTGAACATATGTACTGCAGAGACTACTTTCTATTCTAGCATCTGTACTATGGTGGACTATGTTTTTGTTGTGCTAACACCTGTGCTAGGGGACTACTTTCTCTGTAGCTCAAACACCTGTACTAGGGGGAATTCTTTGTTGTAGCTCAAACACCTGTACTAGGGGAATTCTTTGTTGTAGCTCAAACACCTGTACTAGGGGGAATTCTTTGTTGTAGCTCAAACACCTGTACTAGGGGGAATTCTTTGTTGTAGCTCAAACACCTGTACTAAGGGGAATTCTTTGTTGTAGCTCAAACACCTGTACTAGGGGGAATTCTGTGTTGTAGCTCTAACACCTGTGCCAGGAAGAGTAACTTTCTGGCTACGTTGAGACATAAACATGAAATTGGCTTAGTAATGGCCACAAAGATGTTTTTACGTATGGCTGCATTTTTCACAAATCATTTTTCTCACCCTGTGTGAACTCTTGAAGTTGTGATGACCACTATTCACCAAACATAACTTTATATTCTGATTTCGCTTAGTTGAATCAGAGCCCAATTTTCTTTTCTCAATATGAAGGATACACATCTGTAAATTTGAAAACCTATCTCAGAAGTAACTTACACGAAAGCCCATATGTCATCAGCACTATCTCCACCGAGGCAGCAAGGAGAGATCGATGGAAACTGTCCGAACACAGAAGCTTGCTGAAGTCATTCGTGGACAACCTCTCGTGCTCCTGGATCACAACAACAAAAACAGTTCACAACGTAATACACTTTCAATCATTCAATCACAAAAGTTTTCAGCAATTATATTAAATATTAGTTCAAAGCTGCAATTCCACTTCGTTCAAATTTCATAAATTTGGGTTTTAGATTGGTTCATTGTCCAGTCATGACTGTGTGTTATCTATAGTTTCCTGAATGTATTTCCAATTTGGTAACATATATAAGAGAGTTGGATTACATGCTCACGTAGTAGCTAAAATGTTGTAATATCCTTTTATTGAAAACAATACATACGTTTCATAAAGATTTAAGGAAAATATGAAATCACGTTAGAAAGGTCAATGTACTTGGAAAGTGCATTGACCAGAGTAACCAAAGTTTTCTTGACTAACTTTTCTTAGAGAATAATAATTTCTACGAATTGTCATAAAGGAGGAGGAAAGATCATATCTTGTGTCTCTACACAATTAGGTGGATGGGCATTCGAGATATTTGGGATGTAGATGGTCAGTTGGTCGTAAAAGGGGCACACAGAGGATCTGAAATGATTTGATTCAGTATCTTCTGGCACCTACCAGTCTGAAATATTAGCTGGATATGTAAATTTTTGGTGGTAAATGGCGTAAAGCTAACTAACAATGTCATTTTATAACTGGAAGAATTTGATGGTACCATAAAGGTCCAGGAAATATGGTAATAAAGTAATTAACTATTCAGATGGGACATGAGTCAATTTTGTTTGACGTAGGACATTATTTCGGGGGGGGGGGAGAGAGAGGAAGAGAGATCCATAATTGACAGGAATTGTATTTTGTCACTAGGATGGTAAAGTGGTGCACGATACTGGGCAAGTTCTTCCATTGAAGTTGTGAATCAGCGTTGTGTGTAGACCTGGAAAACTAGTCTGAAGACCTTTGTGTGAGAATTCTTGCCAACAATAAACAGGACTTGACCACCATACTGGACTTATCTTTGAATATCCATCTTAGCTACATCATCCCCAGAACAAGAGTGGATAGACAGATTGCCTAGGGAGAAGGGTCTAACACCCGGACACCCTCAGGTAACACTCTGCTAGCAGCAAAGTCACTACCATGACTCAGATATTCACAAACTTTATGGAAAACAGCTTCTTGTCAAGATGGACAATGGTACAAGAATCTGTATCAAAATGTCACGCTCACAAAATAAAAGAAGTTGTAATCCATAAAATTTGTCAATATTGTCTTACATACCTCTCAAAGAAGTCATTACAAAGATGACTCTTACATTCTCTTGCTGTTTAGAAAATATTGTTCAGACAGTTAATACAATCAAGATGAGACTGACCATTTCCTAGTTTCTCCCATACAAAATATCCCAGAGTTCACGAATAGCGTCAGATCCTCTGACAAATCCAGTAGATTCACCAACAGTCTGACATAAGTTTACAACCCGCCGGCCCCAGTGTCTGACTGTATATTTCACAATGACTTTGACTGAACTTGTTATATGTTTGTTAATAATTTCAATGCCAATTATAAGAAATGTTAACTCTGAAATGTGTGTTTAATTTTATTCTATGGGTCCTGTGAATTTGCAATGTGTCAGACAGACATCTGAAACTTACAGGACCCAATATCCTGTTACTTTGAAACACCATTCGTGAACGCAGATATCCATGAGATAATTTCAGATTATCAGTTATTTTACGTTATAAATTGAAAGACAAGGTGATAAAAGCACAAACTAGCAAAAATTTTGTCTACACATATGGCATTCCCAGGGTTCATACAGCCAAGAGCCCATGAGATTCAAGGGCTTTTCAAGGACTTTTCATGGACATATGATGTGTTTTCAAGCACCACTTTTTTTCCCAAAGTATCACAGACAAAGTTCATTTTCAGTTTTGTAAGGGACCAGGATAGATGCAATTTAATCAAAACGATCGATTGATCGTCAGTGGAACCACAACATATATTTTAATGGAATTTCAAGCACTTTTCATGGGCACAGTAAAAATCCAGGACTTTTTAATTACTTTTGTGGTAAATTTTCAAATTCAAGTACTTTTCATCGAAAGCAGTTAAATTTAGGCACTTTTCAAATCTGTGTGAACCCTGCAAAACAAGATGACAGGGAAACCTGTTTGATATTATAAAAATTTGTTTGTATGTTGGCTCGCGCCTCACTCAACAACATTCCAGCTATTTGGTGGCGATCTATCAACAATAGAGTCTGGCCCAGACAATCCGGTGATCAACAGCATGAGCATCGATCTACGCAATTGGGACACAATGACATGTGTCAACCAAGTCAGTGAGCCTGACCACCCGATACCGTTAGTCGCCTTGTACGAGAAGCATGGGTTGCTGAAGACATATTCTAATGAATCTTCATGGGTCAATATTACATAAATACTGTTACAGTTAAAACAGCTGCCCAGCACCCACCATGTCCAACATGGACTCCATCACTCTGTAGTACAACCTCTTGACCATGGTGAAACGCTGTTCCGCAATGGTCATCTGACTGGACGTGAAATTGGACGTGAACACTCTCTCGAGTTCCATCACTCTTTCTGCGATTGAGGTAGTTGGGTCGATTGCACAGTTCTGCCAAGAGAATATGTCAAATATAACTTCCCACCCTTTAAGAAATACTGAAGAATGTATATTCTGAACTTGGAAAGTGCTGTGAATTCTGTAAGTCATGGAGTTCAGATCTAAAAGATTTGGCAGATTTATCTCAAGTCACAGAATTCCTTTCATAGCAATCTGCAATTTAGTCATACCAGAAACATGTGATTATGTCCTCAAATCCTGCCACTGTTATTTCACTGGTCGCCCTGTGCTTCATATCAGATTGACTAATAACAGTTTGGTTCATGTTCTGCAGGTGAATGAGTGAGTTGGTTGGTGGGTGGTGAGTATGTGAGTTGGTTGGTGGGTGAGTATGTGAGTGAGTTGGTTGGTGGGTGGTGAGTATGTGAGTGAGTTGGTGGGTGGGTGAGTTGGTTGGGTGGTGAGTATGTGAGTGAGCTGGTGGGTGGGTGAGTATGTGAGTGAGCTGGTTGGTGGTGAGTATGGGAGGAGTTGGTGGGTGGGTGAGCATGGGGAGTGAGTTGGTTGGGTGGTGAGAGTGAGTGATGTGAGTGAGTTGGTTGGTGGTGAGTATGTGAGTGAGTTGGTTGGTGGGTGGTGAGTATGTGGAGTGAGTTGGTTGGTGGGTGAGTATGTGAGTGAGTGGGTTGGTGAGTGAGTTGGTTGTGGTGGGTGAGACATAGAGGTAGGTGAGTGGGCTGGTGGGTGGTGGTGAGTATGTGAGTGAGTTGGTGGGTGGGTGGTGAATATGTTAGTGGAGTTGGTTGGTGGGTGAATATGTGAGTTGGTTGGTGGGTGAGTATGTGAGTGAGTTGGTGGGTGGTGAGTATGTGAGTGAGTTGGTTGGTGGGTGAGTATGTGAGTGAGTGGGTTGGTGAGTATGTGAGTGAGTTGGTTGGTGGGGTGAGCATGTGGGAGTGGGAGTTGGTTGGGTGGTGAGTATGTGAATGAGTTGGTGGGTGGTGAGTATGTGAGTGAGTTGGTTGGTGGTTGGTGGGTGAGCATACTGGCTGACGTGTGTAGGTGAATGAGTTTGCCGGTGGTTGAGTGGGTGAGTGAGTGAGTGAGTTGGTGGGTGAGTGAGTGAGTGAGTGGGTGAACATACCATGGAGAGATGTGAGAGATAGGAGGTAGGTGGGCGAGTGGGTTTGCAGGTGGGTGAGTATGTGAGTGAGTTAGCAGACCAAACTTCTAAAGATGAATCATCAGGAGAGAACATATCCCTTCAGTCTGGTGCAATTCACAAATGGAGTTTCAATTAACTACCATGGGCGACTTTCAGGCCAGTGAAAATACAATAATGCTGTTAAGTGTTTCTAATATCCCAAATCATGAAAAGCCACCAACTAACCCTTGACTGATCAGTATAGCAAGTTTCAACACAAAATCTTCAACAGTTTAGGAATTCGGATACAGAAACAAAAACCAGACAGTGGACAGACAAACAAAGCAACTGATCATTTTATCCCCCTACTTTCAAACAGGTGACAACAAAGGGTCTAACAAATATGAAACCTGCTCTGCCCCAAAATCCCCCAAAGAGACAATGAGTGAGTGAGTTTAGTTTTTTACGACGCTCTCAGCAATATTCCAGCTATTTGGCTGCAGTCTGTAAATGATCGAATCTGGACCAGACAATCCAGTATATCAACAGCATGAGCATCAATCTACACAATTGGGATACGATGACATGTGTCAACCAAGTCAGCGAGCCTGACCACCTGATCTTGTTAGTCGCCTCCTACGACAAGCATGGGTTACTGAAGATCAATTCTAACCTGGATCTTCATGGATCCAAAGAGACAATGACCCAAATGTACATTCCTACCTTAAAGTAACAGAGGAGCTTGTCACTGGCCTGATCACTGGCCTGATTGCTGAGAATGGCCTTCAGTTGCTGAACAGTGTTCATGGCAGCTCTGTAAACATTCAATCAAATACATCCTAGGATATGCAAGAGACAATTGCAACATGGAAAACCTTTGGCAATCTGCCCAATGTTGAGAGTAGAAATTCTGAAGACATTTGAACTGGTCAAGCCGTCGACTGTACTTGCAACTATTCCTTAGTATCCAGTGGTTAAAGTGTTCTCTCAGCACGCCAAGTTTGATCCCCACATGGGTATGATGTGTGAGCCTTTAGCTGTGGTCTTGGACCAGAACCTTTAGCTACTCTCTTGGATCAGAGTCCACAGCTGTACTCTTGGATCAGAGCCTTTAGCTCTGCTCTTGTTTCAGAGTCCACAGCTGTGCTCTTGGATCAGAAAATGTTGCTCTGCACTTGGATCAGAGCTTTTAGCTCTGCTCTTGGATCAGACACTACAGCTGTGCTCTTTGATCAGAGCTCTTAGCCTGTTTCTTTAGACAAAGCCTATACGGATCAGAGTCTACAGCTGTGCTCTTGGATCAGAGACTACAGCTGTGCTCTTGGATCAGAGCCGTTCTTAGCCGTTCCTTTAGACAAAGCCTATACCTGTGTCCTTGTTCTCAAGCATTGAAGTGCTTGGCAGTGATCTACCTTCACTACAGTGATAGAAGACTCATAAAGAGGCTTAGTTTTGTACTTAGTGGGTGGTCTTGTGTTCAGAGTCTAAGTAAAAAATCAGTTCAAGTTTAGCAACGTTGGTCAAGGAGAGTCCATGGATGGGTGACCATGTTTGGCACCTCGACTCCTGAGAGTTTCTAGGACTTCAGCCCTGCCTCACAATGAAACACCTATGTGGTCACACTTTAGGCAAGTGAGTTTGTTCAAAATTGCCTCTGTTCACCCAGCAGTGAATGGGTACCCGGTGGGTAAGTCATATGACTGTTAACCTTCTCGCGCCTCACTTGCTGACAATACTCATGATGTGGTTTGACAAACATCGATCAGGAGACCAGATTGCTTCTTTAGAGTTATGTTTGTACAATGAGGGGCAAACCAGTAAATTAATTGCTCTGAGAGTTACACACCTGACAGGTGTCATCATCTGTGGAGATCCCGACACACAGGACTGCTCCAGACTGGTTCTGTAAAGAACAACAACCATTAGTAGAATATTAACAAACTTTATGGATAACAACTTCTTTTATAACATATGTTATATTTGGGATTACACTTTCTCAGTAAAGTACAGATTCTAGTACTTTGTTGGGTTGAGTCCCATCTGGGATTCGAACCCATACACCAATAGTCAGGCACCTAATCGCCAGCACATAAATCCTGGATGGGACACAAACCAACAAAAGTACTAGAATCTGTACTTTACTGAGAAAGTGTAATCCCAAATATAACATGTGTTACATTTGACCAATTTCTAACTGGCTTTTTGTATTCATAACTTCTTTTTTCATGAGTGTGATGTTTTGACACAAATTCAATCTATGCAATTGGGATACGATGATGTGTCAACCAAGTCAGCAAGTCTGACCACCCTATCTTACAACAAGCGACATCTTAATGCTTATATGTACCTCCAGGAGGAGTTCTTCAAAGAATCAGAAACCTCTACAGGTTTGTTCCAATTTCTACTTTCCTACAGACCTGTGAAGATCCGGTTAGAATTAGAATTGGTCTTCTGCAACCTATCATTTTTAAATCCTACGACAATTGTAACAATATTTTAATAGAAAATATTTACAAAACTAAAAACTTGTTTTTGTCTTGTGAGACCACCCCTACAGGGCCTCCCAGGACCCCCTTCTGCCAACAGCAGGTAACTCACACCGTCTACCTCGTACCTCACTGTTCATTCTGTCGTTTCTGAGGAAGGACGTGCGTGTGTTCATTCTCAGGAATCTTTCCCTGTCTCTACGAGGTGAGGTGAAATTGGGTTTAACGTCGTGCTTGAGAATATTTCGCTCATATGACGATGTGCATGGGTGTGTATGTGCGGCTGCTTGTACTAGCCCAGACTTAAGCTGGTTTTATAGTGCTAACCCACTGAGATACCATGCCGCAGTGAAGCATGGACGGACGCTCTAACAACTACACCACAGAGGCGGTCTATCCCTATGAAGATGAGTGATAAGAAAGGAGAAATTTCTACTGTTGTTACAAACTGACCTGTTCCTGTTATGGTCGGAGGGTATGAGGTGACTGTCATGTCGGAGAAAAAGCATCTCGTTGATATCCCCTTCCTTTTTATGTCGCTCGTCATACTGTTCTATCAGCCTCTCCAGCTGCAACAGAAAAAGGGACATCTCTGCATCAAAAGTAACCCAACACTTTGACACAACAATCTGAACGACAAATGATGACAACTAAATGAGAATGTTGTGCTCAGTTCTGCAAAGAAAGTCAAGTCTCTATAGCACAGTGTATCTGTTACATAAATTTGGACAGTAGTTGTAGGATAATATAATACGGTCTGAAACAGAACATATGCCAGATAATGTCAAATTTCTGGGGCTGTAAGTGAGTGAGTTTAGTTTTACGCCGCACTCAGCAATATTCCACTATATGGCAAAATTGAGTCTGGACCAGACAATGCAGTGATCAACAGCATGAGCATCGATCTGCACAATTGGGAACCGATGACATGTGTCAACCAAGTCAGTGAGCCTGACCACCCAATCCCGTTAGTTGCCTCTTACGACAAGCATGGGTTACTGAAGATCAATATTCTAACCCGGACCTTCACGGTTCTCTGGGGTTGTAACGAAACATTATGAGGCGAATACAATATGTATTACTCATATCGTATCGCATCATATCGTACAAAGCCAGAAATTACTGATATGGCAATGTCCCCCGCCACAGAAGAATGGAATATTTATAACACATTTACTACATCATTTTTTTATTTTTGTGTGTATGTGTGTGTGTGTGTCACGTACAAGATGCCTGAAATGACTGGTGTCTGCAAAATCACACAATGTAGGCTGTCGACATAATTGAAGACATTGGGTGCAATGTTTTATGAGATATCAAGAGTTTGAAAAGTGGTCAAAGTGTCTTGGTGACCTTGAAAATAAGGTCATGGTCACCAAAATCGACTGCTGGCTGGGTAATGCCCCAATGTAGGCTGTCACAAAATTTGAAGACATTGGGTACAACAGTTCATGAGATATCGCGTTAAGAGTTTGAAAATCGTTCCACGTCTCGTAGTGACCTTGAAAATAAAGTCCAGGTCACCAACATCGACTGGTGTCTGTGTGATCCCCCAATGTAGGCTGTCACCAAATTGGAAGACATTGGGTACAACAGTTCATGATATATCACGTTAACAAGAATCGGGACGTACGGATGTACGGATGCCACTGAATACATAGTCCCCCGTTCCGCGGCGAAGGGACAACAAAGATATATGAAATACACAATGCCATTTTAGAAAGTGGTCAAACGTAACATATGTTATATTTGGGATTACACTTTCTTAGAAAAGTAAATGGAAGCCGCGGTGGCTGAGCGGTCAAGGCGTCTGACTTTATGTGCTGGCGATTAGGAGCCTGACTCTGAGGGTGTGGGTTCAAATCCCAGATGGGACTCAACCCGAAAAGTACTAGAATCTGTACTTTACTAAGAAAGTTTAATCCCAAATATAACATATGTAACAAAGATATACATTGCAAACTGTGCAATAATTTATATCAATGCATACGACAGGGCCACTTCAAAATAACTCAAGTTACGCTACTGCATGGCTTGGATATATTCAATTTTATGTATCTCACAACCAACAACAACCAACTATTTCCAAAAATAATGCTCTCTTAAACCTATTCATAAAAATATTCGATCTTAGTGACGACAAATACTGAATTGAATTCATGATGGGATACAGATTGATTCACCAAATATGCATTTGAATCCTAACAGGTCTACTAATTTCAGTATTATACTGAGTCACAGCCAGAACAGCCAGTGGTTGATACGAGGTGCAATGGCAAAGAGTCTTAGGAAATCAAACTAAAGAACCTGTACCTGTTACTTCAGGCCATTTGGGCGCTGGGCACCGATTCTAAACAGGGCCACCATGGGGCGACCTACTTACATAACATGACCTTGAACCTCAGACACTGAAGGTCAGGGTGTGGTACTTACATCCAGGTCTCCATCGACAAAAGCGGCAGTTCGTGGAAGAAGGGTTCGTGCAGTTCTGCTGAATAAGCTGCACCTGTGAATGCAATGCATGATGTGATCAATACAAGACATGATGTCATCAATACAAGGCATGATGCATGTCATCAATACAGAGCATGATGTCATCAATACAGGGCATGATGTCATCAATACAAGGCATGTCATCAATACAGAGCATGATGTGATAAATACAGAGTATGATGTTACCAATACAAGGCATGTCATCGATACAGAGCATGATGTCATCAATACAAGGCATGATGTGATCAATACAGAGCATGACATCATCAATACAGGGCATGTGATCAATACAAGGCATGATGTCATCAATACAGAGCATGACATCATCAATACAGAGCATGATGTGATACATACAGAGCATGACGTCATCAATACAGGGCATGTGATCAATACAAGGCATGATCGCATCAATACAAGGCACGGTGTGACCAATACAAGGCATGGTGTCATCAATACAAGGCACGGTGTGAATCAATACAAGGCATGATGTGATGTGATGATCATGTGATCAATACAAGGCATGATGTCATCAATACAAGGCATGTCATCAATACAGAGCATGATGTCATCAATACAGGGCATGATGTCATCAATACAAGGCATGTCATCAATACAGAGCATGATGTGATAAATACAGAGTATGATGTTACCAATACAAGGCATGTCATTGATACAGAGCATGATGTGATCAATACAAGGCATGATGTGATACATACAGAGCATGATGTGATCAATACAAGGCATGATGTGATACACAGAGCATGATGTGATCAATACAAGGCATGATGTGATCAATACAGAGCATGTGATCAATACAAGGCATGATGTCATCAATACAGAGCATGACGTCATCAATACAGAGCATGACGTCATCAATACAGAGCATGATGTGATACATACAGAGCATGACGTCATCAATACAGGGCATGTGATCAATACAAGGCATGATGGCATCAATACAAGGCACGGTGTGACCAATACAAGGCATGGTGTGATCAAAACAAGGCACGGTGTGAATCAATACAAGGCATGATGTGATCAATACAAGGCATGATGTCATCACTACAGAGCATGATGTGACCAATACAAGGCATGTCATCAACACAGTGCATCATGTGATAAATACAGAGCATGATGTCATCAATACAAGGCAAAATGTGATCAATACAGAGTATGATGTGACCAATACAAGGCATGTCATCAACACAAAGCATCATGTGATAAATACAGAGCATGATGTGATCAATACAAGGCATGATGTGATCAAAACAAGGCATGGTGTGATCAATACAAGGAACGGTGTGATCCATACAAGGCACGGTGTGATCAGTAAGGCACGATGTGATCAATACAAGGCACGGTGTTATCAAAACAAAGCACGGTGTCATCAATACAGAGCATGAAGTGATCAATACAAGGCATGTCAACAATACAGAGCACGGTGTGACCAATACAAGGCATGGTGTGATCAAAACAAGGCACGGTGTGAATCAATACAAGGCATGATGTGATCAATACAAGGCATGATGTCATCAGTCCAGAGCATGATGTGACCAATACAAGGCATGTCATCAACACAGAGCATCATGTGATAAATACAGAGCATGATGTGATCAACACAAGGCATGTCATCAAATCAGAGCAAGATGTCATCAATACAAGGCATGATGTGATCAATACAAGGCAAACTGTGATCAATACAGAGTATGATGTTACCAATACAAGGCATTTCGTCAATACAGAGCCTCATGTGATAAATACAGAGCGGGATGTCATCAATACAAGGTATGGTCTGATCAATACAAGGCATAGCATTAATACAGAGCATGATGTGATCAATACAGAGCATGATATGATCAATACAAGGCATGATGTGATCAATACAAGGCATGCCATCAATACAGAGCATGATGTGATCAATACAAGGCATGATGTGATCAATACAAGGCATGATGTGATCAATACAAGGCATGATATGATCAATACAAGGTATGATGTGATCAATACAGAGCATGGTGTGATAAATACAGAGCATGATGTGATCAATTATTTCGGTATTTCAGCTCCCCATACTCTCTATACTAGGAAAGCCTATGTTTTGCAAAGGGTGTAAAGGGACACAACTCCGCATCCAGTTTGTGATACCCTCATCACAAGAACTGTTCAGCTCAAAAAAAAAGATTCCTATTCATTAACTGTCATGAACACTCACCTCTTCAATGCTTGTTTTGACTTGTTCAGCAAGTTTCAACAACATATTTGTTGTTCTGCTTTCTGTTGTTTTTAAACAACCAATGCGTATTACATCTGAAAGTAATGAAAGAAAAAATGCAAAATCAATAAATAAGGTACAGTCTGGCATTAAAATGTTGGGGATCTAAAATACATTTCATTTTGGTAAATGTGGACCAGTGGTTTTTAAAACACTGTTGTTTGTTTCCCACTCAAATGCGAACTTGGCAATACTCAAATATTGTAACAGTGGTCTATAAATAACTGAGTCCGGACAAACCAGTGATTGTTATTACGAGCAATGATTGGGATTCAAACCTCAACCTGCCCCTGGGCAGACACTCTATCCACTAGACCACTGAGAAAACATGTGTGGTGGAAGAAATCTGTATACACAAGGCTGGGAAGTGTTGATGACAGACTCAAACTTCCCATAGAAACCTGTCATCTTAGATCCTTTTGACCCGCAAAGATCTGGGTTAAAATGGATCTTCAGAAACCCATGCTTGTCATAATGGGCGACTAACAGAATCAGGTCGTCAGGCTCGCTAACTTGGGTTTACACATCGTATCCCAATTGTGTACATTGATGCACACGCTGTTGATCACTGGATTATCTGGTCCAGACTCAATTATTCACAGACCGCCCCCACACTCCGGCACAGCGATGACTTAACATAACATCACTGCCAACAGGCTAATTTGCATATCACGTGACCGGACTTTTCTCTTGTTCATAATCAAACACGCATATTCATAATAAGAAGAGACTGGACTCACAAAAGCTTTTCGGCGCTCCCTTCATAATGTTTTACATTGTTACATATATATTTTTCCACAACTGCGACAGTAAGGTCTATGACAGTACATATTTAGATATCAAATGGCTGCATCGTTTGCTCTTCATCAGCTTCGATGACAGCACGTGGAGCCGCACAACCTATGTAAACAAAGGATCGCTACGCAAATCGAAATAGTGTTACATGTTTTAGGATATTTTCTCAATGAAACCAAACCATTCTATCAAAGATGTTTAATTAGTTGTGTAGACTTGTCAAAAATAAAAGAGCTGAGAAATATGTAAATTATATTGAATGGACGGTGCAAGATGTGACGAATCGTCACATTTTTCTGGCCATTGGCACAGATACTATGCTGGCTTGCCGCATGGAACTCTGGGTAGGAGAGTGAGACCGCCCCCATATAGCGGAATTATTGCTGAGTGCCAAGTTAAACAACAAACAAACCAATATTAGTCAGAGGCCCAGATAAGATGCGTATCCGGGTAAAATACGCATAGAAAAGTTACAATTACGCTTTGAAAAATAATTTTTGCGTACCAAGTACCAATTACGCATTTAAAAGGTTAGATACGCAAAAAGTTTAAAACAAATGCGTACGGAATATATTTATAAAAATCGCTTGCGTAATGAAAAGTTGTACTGATAGTATAGGACAAGTGTTGTACTGTCAGTATAGGATGAGTGATTTTTTATGAAATCATTTCCATAATATATAAGTTGGTTTTGATTAGGTATGACATAAGGCAGAACATACCTTACTTAGGTGAGTAAAATGACTGAAATAGGCACATATTTGAAAGCAGTGGGTAACGGAAAATGAAATACCCACTCAACATTCATAATACCCACTCCAACAAAATACAGTGGGTACAGTACCCACATGAGCTAAATCTTATCTGGAGCTTTGATTAGTTCTTTTAAATCTTACCATATGGGGGATTCAGCAGAAACGACGGTGTTGTTCGAGGACAAACTCTAAACAACACATGAGCAACAACACAGCATGATTCAGATCCTGGTTGTCCACGAGGAAGTGATCTGAAAACAGGATTATTTTTATAATTTCAGTCGCGGCTACCTGGACACATTGAATGTATTTCATAAATGCCATTTCAATTTTGATTAGCCATGTCACGCATAATAAGCACTATTCTAATCCCTGCAGTGACTTGTCCAGATTGGTCATGTGGTTCAAGTGCACTTGCTTATGGCACAGGTGTGTTTGAGCGAGACGTTTTCTATTCTTGAGGAATAGAGCATAGGAAGTTTAGACCAGATCTCAGGAGAATGATAGGCATGGTCCGTTTGGGTTCAAATGAGAACGACATATCATAAAATAACTCGAAACTGGGATAAGTCAGAGATGCCAACCCTGAATCTAAGAAAAACGGAGTCATGACTGGATGAAATCTAGGCCTGAGCATCAAAGGTGTGAGTTGGGGGTGAGCGAGTGGTGAGCTCTGCCATTTTGTTTCACTTTCATACAGACTATGACATGCATTCAGGAAAAAGTTTGTGAAACTTCATCGTCAATAACACGCAATATACACAATCGACATCCAAAGGATCACATGCTAAGCTTCTGAATGCTTTTACCAGTGTTCACTCAAATAAATCACTGGTGACTTAAAAAATTGTACATCGTAAAAATAAATTCAGAATTTTTTCTCAAAAATCGGAGTTTTTAAAGAGAATTCGGAGAGCAGATTTTGTGTTTGAAAATCGGAGTGCTTGGGATCTCTGATAAGTGCACAAAACATAAATAAGACACAAGGTCCTGAAACCTCTGTACCCAACAGGATCTGAAATCTGACGTTTTTTGCTCAATCACGGAAAAAGTTGTTTAAGAACTTTCATGGAATATTGTCATATTTTCACGCTTCACACTGGGGGTGACAAATGGCTGGTGGAACAGCGCCTGACTAGCTGGGGTCATCTCACCTGGCTGTGCTGAGTTGCACCTGAATGTGTGTTGGTGCTGTTCCACCAGCCGTATGTCACCCCTCGGTGTGAAGCGTGAAAATAGCACTATTTCAAGATATTATATCATTCATCGTTTCCATTCGAACCCAAACAGACTATAAGACATAACTATGAGTCAGGATAAAGAAAAAACAAACTTATTTGGAATTTTATAACAACTGATCAAATTGAACTCAAAGGCTCTTTGAAATTCTCTAAAGATAAGGGAGGTAATTAAACTGTAGATTTTCTCTTTTTTCCAATGAAAAATCTCTCTGACTTGGAACCTTGTACACTAAATAACCTACAAACATTGAAGGAAGAACAATACATTCATATCTCACTTTTTGTATGTAAGAAGATTGTCCAACACAGCTTTTTCCTAAATGACACTCCTTCAGTTTCAGGCACTGGTGGCATCACATTCTCGCGGAAATATACATTTTCCCTGAAAATAGAACAATTGACATTAGAACTTAATGGAAACACTGGTCAACTGAACAAAGACTTGCAATATCATATACCAGCCAAGATGACCTTAAATAGGTTGTGATGATCATGATACACAATACAATAACAGTAACTGAATTACAACGATATTACAACATAGTATTAATAATAATATTTAAGTGTCTGGGACTCCCATTTTTGTAGTCCAGGAGCCCTGAAAATTAGTAATAATAGTAATAGTCCGCTTATATGGCGGTCATATCCAGGCACATTACTCACGGCGCTATGTACATTGAAACATTACTATCCCCAGTCACAGGACACGATCATAAGTATGAGTCCCATGGACCCTCAAATACAGGACTCAAGGTAAATCACTGATGAGCAAAATAGGATCAACATGAACAATGCTTATCACTGTCCAACACGTTAGTTCCAAATATCTCGCAAAGCATAATGCAATTCATATACAATATAGAACAAACTTTATGGATAACAACTTCTTTTTACTCGTGAGAAGTTGTTATCCATAAAGTTTGTTCTATATTGTGCTTCCCAACTTCTAAAATGCCACTCAAAGAAGCAATTCATATACCTGCATCAGAATTATATGGCATCACGTTTCTGTGGACAACATACAGCCAACCTAAATTGCAACTAAATTTATCATAACTGTAAATATAGTTCTAACTTTTTATGACTGTAAAGAGGTAAGATGCATCATACTGCTAAGAGCACCAATAACATGGAAGAACCTTTATTATCCCACCTTTTGTCAGAACTTTATTTTTGATTGGTTCATGTTAGTGGTGATCCGATTAATTGAAATAATCGACGACCAAGCAATCGATCATGTTTTCTCATAATCAAACACAAACAATTCTGGAACACTTGTTTTCATCAACAATATTTTTAACAAGGTTGGTTTTGTCTGTTACATTTCATAAGCACTACAAGCCCGTTCCAAGGCAAGATTGAATTTATCTTAAAGACGCCAAGAAATTTATGTTCCTAGCATACTAGTCATCCTTTAAAGATGTGAAGTTTTGAAAAAAAAATTAAAAATAACTACAGTCAAATACCGATGTGTCGAATCGCTGGGGACCAAGTAATTAATTCGACTTATCCATGTATTCGAGACATAGGTATGTCTATGAGGGTAGAAAAAAGATGATCCAGTCCTAATTCCTCCACCTAAGCATTTGTTTATCTAATGATTTCCATATCACTAATAGGGGCACCTTATCAGTTCCAGTCTGATTAGCACAGACAATGATTTCCATAAAATCACTAATCTGCCTTTTGAACTCACCCGTCTATGGCGGAAAGGTGTGAGCCGAGCTGGTTTGTTAATTGGATCAGTTTGCTATACCAATCAACTTCTCATTGACTGACTTCGCTTATGTATACAAGATTTTTACAAACCTGGAGAGGTTATGAATTCTTTTGAAGAAAAGTCCTCCTTGGGGTACATATAAGCATTAAAATGTCCATTTTAAAAGCCTCACGACAGTTGTAACAATATTTCAATAAAATATTTTACCAAACAAAACTCGCTATGTGTGGTGAGACCACCCCTACAGGGCCCCGTGAGAGGCCCCCTACAGCCAAGAGCAGGTAACTCTGGCTGTGTACCTCGTGACTCACTTTTCATGCTGAACGGTCAGACAGAATGAGGGGAGGTGGAGTGTCAGATTTGTTGAGGAGGACTTTTCTTCAAAGAATTCATAACCTCTCCAGGTTTGTAAAATTCTTTTCAGAAGAAGTCCTCCTTGGGGTACATATAAGCATAAGACAGACTCCCAACGATGTTGAGTCGGAGTGGTATTCTGTCTGCCTAACATACCCCTAGTTCAGTCGAAGGCACAGCCGGGCCGCCGACACAGAGAGAGAAAGTACACTCACCTAGTCACCTGACCGCTGATGTCAATCAGGCGGGGCGGGCGGCAAGGCGGGGAAAAGGAGCTCAGCCGATAGGCTATTGGTGGAATTTATAAAGGCGGACGCAAGTCCCACCCCCAACCATCAAAATGGGAGGGAAAGTATGGGCGCAGTCCAATATATATCCCTCAGCAACCCAAACCAGCTAAGCTGGTGCAGGGATGAACACAGTGACTGTAGCGAAAGTGATAATCGCTACATACAGTAAAACCACCACCAATGTGATACCACCACCGATAAAAATTGAGGAATTTATTAACACCTACACCATGAGAAAAGCAAACGCGGATTTCTAAGGCTCATTCGCTAGAGAATCACGACACTGCCCACTGGTGAGAACTGTCTGGCCAAACCGAAAGCACGCCCCGCGAGTGTTTGTCCAGCTGATAGTGGCGGATGAACGCACTCGGTCGGCTCCAGATAGCCGCTGAGCAGATCTCTTCAATGGGCAGTGCCGCCGGGCGATGCTTTGATGTCGCCACTGCCCTAATAGAATGAGCCTTTAAACCCTGAGGGATGGTTAATCCTTTGTAAGAGTAACTCAACAAATGGCAGAGACAAGCCACCTAGATATGGTCTGCTTGTTCGCCGGAAGACCAGCCTTGCCACCGCCATAACAACAGAACAGCTGCTTATCTTTCCTGATAGCAGCCGCTCGCTTGATATAAGCCTTGAGAGTCTTACGGACATCTAAGACGGAGCACCAAGAGAGGTACCGGACGATGGAGGCTGAGTGAAAGCTGGCAGTTCGATAGGCGCCAAGTTATATGAAAGGCTTCGCACCTTAGGACGGTAGGAGTCTGGCAACCGAATACTGACTCTGTCTTTGTGAAAGACAGTCAGAGCAGGATCCGCTGACATCGCGATGGATATCACCTACCCGCCTGCCAGACGCTACCGCCACAAGAAAGGCAGCCTTCCAACTTAACAGCTGGAGGAAAGAGACGACAGATCGCGGAAAGAGAGGACCGACATCCAATCAAGAACGATTGACAAGTCCCACGGGGACTAATCCGCCGGACAGTCGGACGGATTCTGTCCACGCCTGCTAAAAAGCGCTTGACGAGAGGGTGCTGCCCCAAGAGAGCACCGCCGGCAGGGATATGGAAGGCAGAGATTGCCGTGGAGTAGCCCCGATAGTAGACGACGCTAAACCGGGCTTCTAACCGAGACTGCAAGAACTCCAGTACTTCAATTACAGTTGAAGAAAAGGGATCAAGAATCCTCTGCCGACACCAGCGCCAAGCATAACAGGCCCATCTATCCTCATACTGAACGCTTGTCGAATCCCTCCGCTGGCCAGAATTGTGTCTGCAACTGGTGCAGGAATTCCGCCGCTGCGGAGGCTGTATTCCGACAGAGGCCAGGCCACCCACTGAATCCTGGGATTCGGTGCGGCGCCCGCTCTGGGATAGTAAGTCCGGTCGAAAGGGTAATAGTACAGGAGGCTGAGCCAGAAACCTGAGTAGTACCGAAACCAGCTTTGAGCCGACCAAAGGTGCAAGGAGCACAAGAAGTCGAGCTGGTTGGGTGGCAAGCTGCAAGAGGACTTTGGGAATCAGGGTAGTGGCGGAACGCCCACAGAACCCTGTCCGCCCAATCGAGCTGGAAAGCCGCCTTGGGCGATGGCTCTCGATCCGTATCCGAGAGCAAAACACCGAATCTGGTTCGTCCCCCCAGATGCAAACAGATCCACCTGGAACGACCAACAACTGGGAGATAGCCCCGAATATCCCCCGATGGAGCATCCACTGCAGGGGCCAGGATATGACGAGAGAGTGCATCTGCTCAACGCTGTCCGCCCCTGGGAGATAAACAGGCATTACCCGTGATGTCGAACTGGTCGCACCAGAGCAGAAACTGCCATGCCTCCTGCAGAAGAGACGGGAAACCGCATCGCCTCTGCTTCAGGATGTAGGTCATTGCCGCCTGGTTGTCCATCTCGAGACGGACCACACGGCCTTGAACCTGCTCCCAAGTCGCTTTGAACACCAACCTGACTGCTCTCAATTCTAGCACATTGATGTGCAGTTGCGCCGCTTCTGTGACCACAGGCCTGAGACCGACAGGGCGCTTCAGCACGCCCCCACCCTGTGAGGGAAGCGCCCGCCTGAATTGAGAGATCTGGCGATGGGATGTCCAAAGGGAGCCCCTTGATAAATTCCCTGCCAGTGTCCACCACCGTGAATGAGGAATTAGCCACCCTGGAGTGTGGAGAATCAACTCAGAACCCTGGGTGTGGACCCACATTCGAAGCTAGAGCCTGCTGAATGGGTCGCGATCCTCAACCCAAGGCCGCCAAACGATGTCCACCGCTGCCGCCATGTTGCCTAACAACTGGAGCCAAGTCCCAGCTGAGGCCCTGGGGAACTCGAGAAATTGTAACACAACTCTCTGACTTTGGTGACGCTGTCCGAGACAGGGAGACTATCCTCGCGCTGTCTCAACTCGCCCCAAGAACACCAGATCCTGGGTGGGAACCAGTTCTGATTTCTTGAGGTTGATAATCCAGCCCAACTTGGTGAGAATACTCATCACAGCAAGTGTCGCGAACTCGACTCAAGTGAGTGGCAAGCATCTAAGGAGCCAATCGCCTAGGCACGGGTGACAGCACCTGCCCTGTGACCTGGCTACCTGAGCTGGAATTAGCATGAGTTTGGTGAACACCCTTGGCGCTGTGGAAATGCCAAGGGGAGTAATTCGAAACTGATAGCACCTCCCGCCGAAGGAAAACCTTAGGTATTTCCGAACTCGGGTGCATAGGGACATGGAAGTACGCTGCCTTTGAGGTCGATTGACGTGAGCCAATCTCCCTTCTCCACAGACGAAATCACCGAACGCAGTGTTTCCATCTTGAATGACGGTACCTCTAACATGTCGTTCAGACCTTTGAGGTTTAGAATAGGTCTGAACCCTCCGTCCTTTTTGGTGACAAGGAAATAAGTTGAGTAAAAACCCAACATTTCTTGTCCCACAGGAACCATCTCTATGGCTGCCTTGTCCAGCAACGACTGACCTCGCATCGAGCACTTCCGCCTCTCTAGGGCAGCCGCACTGGAGTGCAACGGATCCCGGAGAAGGGGTGGGTCTCGCCCACTGTGGCAAGTGGCCTTCCCTGAGTGTGGACAGGACCCAGGGATTGGACGTGACTTTTTCCCATTCCGACAGGAAGAGGGAAAGTCGACCACCCACAGGGATATGTGGCAGGAGACATTGAATACCGGACTTTGGCAGTACTCTGACTGCTTGGTCTGGTACCAACAAGGGCTCCGGAGGAATTATAGCTGGGAAGCCGGGCTGACTTCCCTTCCTCTGAAAAGGCTGGTGGGGGCCGCGGGCCTTGCCCTTGCCCCCTGCCTCTGCCCTTACCCTCCGCACACTGCAAGGGCTGAGCCCATTTAACAGATTCCTTCGCCGCAGAAGGATATGGAGGAGACAACCGGGGCCGCGAAGCAGACGCGGTGAGGCTGTTCCAGCAAGGGCTTAGAGTCCTTGAAGGTTGAGACAGCCTCCGCTGCCTCCCCGACTACTGTAGCTGCCCCGGGAACAGGGTAGAACCCATCCGAATGGCAGCCAGCAGAGCCTGTTATGCGGGCAGGCTTAATACCTCGCCACGAAAGCCACAGGCTTAACGGAGGCCCATCACCGCCGACATCATTTGGCAAGCCGACGCACCTGATAGAATCGCTACCAGATGTGACTGTACCTCCGCTAATTGCTTAGCCAAGGTGGAGGGAGACTAATCTTCTCCACCCCACCCACATCCAGTAGTTGCCTCTGCAACACCGGAGATGTAGGCGAATGGATCGCCACTTTGAGGCATTGAACCGCATTGCGTATTGCTCTTCAAAGGATCGATAGGCGGATTTAAGCGCTGTAGCTGCTAGTCGTCGGAACGGGCGGAAGCCGGCGACCTTGCTTGGCTGAAGCCATAGAATTACTCGATTTAACCCCCAGGGCTTAATGGATGCGTAAAACACAATCGCCAACCACTGGGGATTGTAGAGGCAAGTCTCCCCATGAGGTACCGACGGTCAAGTTCTGGCAAATCAACCTGGACCTGGTACCACAGAGGAGGGGTTGATTACTTCAGACAAGACTGAGGGTAATATACGCAGCCTTGTGTCCCCCACCTTGGTGGGAGCAAAAGCCTCCCCTGGGAGGCTTAAACTCCTGAGGGTCGGGTGCCAGTACTGACCACTACCTGGGGCAGGACAGAAGCAACACGCCCCGCATCTGCCTCAGGGACGACCGAGCTTAAACCAGCAGGCGCATCTAACTCCTCCCGACTCCTCATCCTCCTCCATAGCCTCCTCGAATCGATCCTCAACGAGTGAGGTCTCTGTTTCCAGAGAGAGCTCTGAGGGATCATCCGAGGGGTCTACAGAGAGGGACAAAGGCTCGAGCAGAGCCGGGTTGCCCGCACACCCCACCCAAGACTCGAGACTGAGTCGCTGGGTGCCGCGGATGAGGAAGAGCGCGCTGGGATTCCTCAATGGTAGACAAAATGATCCAGACACCGAATGGCCCGCCAAGCCGGGCGCAAGCGTGGGACCACCATGGCGAAGCGGCAACTACAGGGACTGCCAAACTACTAACTATTGGATTCAGACCCCGAGCCAAGGCTCGGGCCGGTAGTAGTTACTACAGCGAGGGGTGGCCAGCAACCGAGATAAAACTCGAGCCGACGCACTCGGACAGAAACCCCCACACCAGAGCCTAAGCTGAGGTTGGGAGCACTGCCCGCCATAGACCCGACACACACACCCGCATCTGGTCGGACACCACCTCCTGTCGGAGGCCAGCCATCGCCAGCCACCAGAGTGTGGACCGAATCCATCTGCTTCTGCAATATATCAGAAAGTAAATCAATTGTTAGCTGGTTAGAAACAGGGACAGGAGGGGAAGGTGCCTGTGATGTTGAGGGGATGGCAGGTGAAGGAGCCGGAGGCCCCGCACCTTCTTCACCGCTTAGGAGCATCCCCTCAAAGAGAGGAAGCCAAGCCTTCTTTTCTTTGTTTTTATCTTTGTCTTTAGGCTGCTCCTGACCCTTAAATGTCCCCCCCGCCTGAAGTAAGGACGTAGAACATGTAATCAGCACGCCTGGACTTGATGAAAGCGGGGAGAAAGCCTGACACATAGAACAACCTTTGTTCGCCATGGGCTTCCTCCGCTAAACAACGAAGCAAACCAGGTGGCGATCCTGAGGCTAACAAACTGCCGCTACAGGTGACACACCCCTTGGGCTGCAAAAAACAGAACCACGCTATGATAATAGCAAGGACTGTACGATATACATAATATAATATGCACACAACAAAACAGAACAAAATACAACGCCCGGGCGATATTTTAACTGCTACAGCAAAGCTATTAATTACTAGCGTAAAGCCATAATAGCTGCTGAATTGCGCATATATAGGTGACAAAGAGCAACATGTGTGAGCATTAACGCAAACGCCGCCACTTAAAACACTCAAGCAAAACTTACCTAAAGCCTGAAAAAAGAGGAATTTAGGCAAGTATAATCTACAAAATGAAATATCAGCCCTTTCACAACCCGACTACAAGGCTTTTTCTAAAGCCAGGAGAAGGAAAGCAAACGGAACCCCGCGGTCCGCCATCTTGCCTGCCACGTGGCTGGAGACAGCTTAACACGCCGTAAAGTTACAACAAATCATGAATGAAAAAGTCATACAAAGATTCCAGCTAGCTCGAAATAAAAAAAGGAACCATACATACAGGATTTGACTCTATCTCACTCATCCTTATTCAGATCTTGACCATGCAAACGCACTCTACACGGCCTAATTTTACAGCATGAAAAGTGAGGTACGAGGTACACAGCCAGAGTTACCTGCATAATGTTTTGAGTTGTAGGGGCCCTCTACGGGCCCTGTAGGGTGGTCTCACCACACATAACGAAGTTTTTGTTTGGTAAAATATTTTATTGAAATATTGTTACAACTGTCGAGGCTTTAAAATGGACATTTTAATGCTTATATGTACCCCAAGGAGGACTTCTTCTGAAAAGAATTTTTTCCGGTTTAAAATAAACATTGATAAGACAAAGTTGATTTGGATTGGCTCCAAAAACGAGTAGTGAATGAAACTATTGAAGAACTGCAGAATGGACTGGACTGGAAACATTTACTGGGTATAGTACTATAGTACAAGGTATAAAGCCATTTATTCCCCTCCCGAGAGAGGTTCAAACCCATACTCACTATAACGCCTCTTGTTACCTCACAATTTGCCTACTGGCAAACAAGGATAAGTTGAGCACGACCTGACAATTGATTTCCTTATTCCAGATAGCATTGAACGCTGACCCAATGTTGGCAAAACCATTGCCAACGCAATAACGCTTGAATGCTATCTGGGTATTAGCATGTATGAATGCCGCCGACTGGCGCGCCATTGTGGTTTAATGGGCCCCAGGTTGTCCGCGATCAAGTGTAGCTGATGATGGGTGAGAGAGAGACAAAACCGTGGAATACATTCTTTCTCCATGTACATAATAACATTGTATGCCACTTCTCGGTCTGAGAATGTATTATCTGACTTTGACATGCTTAATTCTCTCGAAAAATATATCTATACATCCGAATATTACCGACCAGCTGCACCGACCACGTGAGAGTCTTATGAGCAAGGCCTGTGCAGCTACACGTGGAATCAATTTCATCGTCATGCACTGCACATGCGCTAGCCTACATCTGCTCTAACTTTCACAAACCAAATGGGTTTGCACATTGCCATGCACCGCCTACTTCTCATAAACACGTTCTCTGCGCCAGTCCAACTTATCCTTGTTTGCCAGTAAGTTCCAAATTCTAATAATGACTTACTCGTTAGAATCCTCATCTGTTTTGGGGTCTTCTCTAAATACAGATCGGCATAGCCTACAACATGAAGATCACACACATTAAATACCAGTGAAGATCTGGATTGGAACTGGTCTTCAGCACGCCCATGTTTGTTGCAAGCCATGAACTGATGCAATCGGGTGGTCAGCAGGGGTGGAATTAACTTTACAATTGCTAGTGTACTCCAGTACAGGGCACATGTAAAATCACTTGCCCTGATAATTTTTCCGCTATATACCGGCTGTTTTCTTGTTGATTTTTTATAAATAAACAACATAATTAACATTGGAAAGTCAACTGGACACTGGTACAGTGTGATATACAAATTTGCTTGCCCGACAGAAAAAAACACTGGACTCGGACGTCGAGCAATGGGTTATTTCCACCCCTGGTCAGGCTTGTTGAAATGGTTGATCTAAGTCATCGAATCCCAATTGTGTAGATCAATGCTCGTGATGTTAATCACTGGATTGTCTGGTTGTTATTTGATTATTTACCGGCCGATATTATACAGATGGAATATCGCTGAATGCAGTGTTGTACAACAACCAAACATACACCAGGTGACATCTGGCCTTATAATACCTTAATAGTCGTTCCATTCGCGTTCTAGAGGTTGGTGTGACCGCCTCCGTGGTGTAGTGGTTAGAGCGTCCGCCCGGAGAGCGGAAGGTCGCGGGTTCGATCACTGACCACGTCATACCAAAAGACGTCAAAATATGGTACTTGTTGGTCCCTGCCTGGCGCTCGGCATTAATGGGTACAACAAGGACTGGTCGACTCGGAGTCAGTATAATGTGTCTGAGTAGGGTATTCATGCTTCACTGCGGCATGGTATCTCAGTGGGCTAGCACTATAAAACCAGCTTCAGTCTGGGCTAGTACAAGCAGCCGCACATACACATACACACGCATGTACGTCGTCATATGAGTGAAATATTCTCAAGCACGACGTTAAACCCAATTTCACCTCACCTCACCTCTAGAGGTTGGTGAGAACAGGTACTCCATCATGGAGAATAACTTACAGTTTATTGCATTTAGTGTTGATTAAGTATAGACTACGAAATAGATTCATATTCCAACTTCAAAATGATGTAAGAACCTATATATCGATAAATATTTTCTTTTTTAAACATTTCTGGTACAATGGACAACAAAGATATTCTGAAGTTATTTGTTTTTGTTTGTTTGTTTAATGCCGCACTCAAAAACATTCCAGCTACTCCAGTAGTCAGTAAATAATTAAGTCTGGACCAGACAATCCCGTGATCAGCAACATGAACCCAGCATTGACATGTATGGGTTCCTGAAAACCAATTCTGAACCAGATCTTTACGGGTCCAGTGTTAGCAGAATACAGAGAAAAATCAAACAACAGTGTTGCATCCAACCTTAACATCCCCCTTATCCATTACAAGAGGGGGACCTGACACCAAGCAGGGGGGGATCACATACTGACTGCAGATAGGAATTTACTGTAATGCTGACGCCATCACAGCAATGATATAGGTGAAGAAACCACTTTGGGTATTTGTCATGAAAAGAGAGAATAACGAAACTGGTTTGGTTTAACAAACGGAAGATTATATCAACATGATTCGCGGTCTTGCTTACATATTTACCAAAGATGCTTTTGATTTGCGATATGCAAATGTGTACACGAGACCCACACGTTATGCAGGTGCATGAGTTGACATAATATGATGGGTATGTGGTCATTTATATTGTGTGAGATGTGGCACATCGATTTTCATTTTTTGAGGGAGATGTACGTTAATAGGGGTGAATCCCACAATTGCGCAGCCTGGATGCAACACTGAACAAGCTGGAATACTTTCTAGTAAGTATTACCCAAATATGATATGTAATGGGTTTGTTACATCTTGAATGCCATATTTTTTAAAGTCTTGGATGTGATAACTATCAAACATAAATTTAAACAGAGTGAAATGTCAACAGGTGGGCCTACTATTTTCATCCTTGACAGATTTTGTTATTTAAAGTGCTTACTTTTCAAATGTGTGGAAGAGAGCGGACACAATACAGTAGTTTTTCTCCAGACTAAGCAGATGTAGCCGGACGGACTCGCTGACAACTACCCTCTCTTTCAACACTCGCATCCTCCGGAAGAACTCTGTGATGCTGAAACACATCAAAGTACAAACATGATGACTGTCTACCATGTTTAGTAAAATCTTGGATCACATCAGGTAGCCTAGTGGTTAAAAGCCTTCTCTTGTCACGCTGAAGACCCGGGTTCAATTCCCCACATTGGTACAATGGGTGAAGCCCATTTCTGGTGTCCCCCGCCATGATATTGCTGGAATATTGCTCAAAGCGGCATAAAACTATGCTCACTCACTCGCTCAATTATGACAGGAGTAAGGACTGACATTTTTTAACAGGATTCGTCCAGAGTAGTACACACAACCATACATAACAAGAAGACAAAGTCATCAATATCCCCCGCAATGGCAAAATACTCTTCATGATTATGTCTACGAGTTATGATTATGTCAAATATTTAGGTGTGTATATAGAAAAGTGGAAGGAGAGTATTGAAAGGTTTTTAAAGTTCTGCTCCAGAACGCAGCACTATCACTAATTTCAGTCTAAGTCAAACTTGTTGCCATGGAAACGCCAAAAATATTTTATTCAGAATTCCAAAACTACCAAAAGGCACCAGTACACCACCAGATCTATCTATGTGCCAAGTTTGGTGAAGAAATATTGAACGGTTTTAGAGTTCTGCTCCGGAAAAGAGCACTACCACTAATTTCAGTCTAAGTCGAACTAGTTGCCATGGAAACGCCAAAAATAATTTATTCAGAAATCCAAAACGACCAAAAGGCACCAGTACACCACCAGATCTATCTATATGCCAAGTTTGGTGAAGAAACATTGAACGGTTTTAGAGTTCTGCTCCGGAAAAGAGCACTACCACTAATTTCAGTCTAAGTCGAACTAGTTGCCATGGAAACGCCAAAAATAATTTATTCAGAAATCCAAAACGACCAAAAGGCACCAGTACACCACCAGATCTATCTATATGCCAAGTTTGGTGAAGAAACATTGAACGGTTTTAGAGTTCTGCTCCGGAAAAGAGCACTACCACCAATTTCAGTCTAAGTCAAACTTGTTGCCATGGAAACGCCAAAAATATTTTATTCAGAATTCCAAAACTACCAAAAGGCACCAGTACACCACCAGACCTATCTATGTGCCAAGTTTGGTGAAGACATATTGAACGGTTTTAGAGTTCTGCTCCGGAAAAGACAAATGTGCACGGACGGACGGACGGACGGACGGACGGAGTCCATTTTAATACCCCCCGCAAAACGCGTTGCGGGGGATAACAAGGTCTGTGCCTAGTGGTTAAAAGCGTTCGCTAATCACGCTGAAGACCTAGGTTCAATTCCCCACATGGGTACAATGTGTGAAGCCCATTTCTGGTGTCCCCTGATGTGATATTGCCCTAATAGTGCTAGAATAGGTGCCTCAGTCTGATAGTGCCGGTTCGAGTCCTGAATGAGACTGAATCCAAAATGTACTACAATCTGTTCTTTCGTGAGAAAGTGTAATCCCAAATATCTCATATCTTACATCTGACCACATTCACCACAGGTATTGTGTTTTCAGGAACACTTAGATTTAAATCTTGGATAAATCTCTGATGGATAAATCTCAATGGCTGCCAATGACATAAGCTGACTCTTGTCAGGTGAGCTTCAGCCTTCTTGTACTGTAACCATGGTAACCATTGACTTACTTGAGGTTGGTGTGTTGTAGCAGGTTGGTGAGGGTGATGCTGGGATTGCCGTCAAGGTAGCCGCACTGCAACTGGGGGTCTAGTGGACCGTAGGGCATCCTAAAATCAGAGATAAAACTCAGTCTAATATGTTTATAAGACTGAATAGTGAATAGGTTTCCTGAATGCCATTTCAACAAAATAAAAGCAAGAAGTGATAGTCCAAAATGTTCAGACACTCGTCATGCAGAAGACCCGGGTTTGATTCATCACATGGGTACAATGTGTGAAGCCCATTTCTGGTGTCCCCCACAGTGATATTGCTTGAATAATGCTAAGAGTGACCTAAAACTAGTGGTGTTCCGATTTAATTGAAATAATCGAACATTGGTCGCAGTGACCAAACGACCACGCAATCGATCACATTTTCTCATAATCGAACATAAAAGATTTTGGAACTACTGTTTTAGTCTTTGAAATACTTGACGATGGAACATATCTTAGAAGTTGTCAGGTCCTGAAAACATGTTTAATTCTTAGAAAAGTCACTTCACTAACTGAAAAGTCATGACTGAATATTTCTCTAAGACTCCAGGAAGTTTATGTTCATGATATATTAGTCATCACTTCAAAGTAGCAAGTTGCATCATGTTATACATATCTACAATAACAACCTGGATAGGAAAATCTGAAAAATGACGCTAACCAATTTTTTTTCGATGACTGTTCGTTGGTAATGAAGCAATCATCAATTGTGAAATTTCAACCAATTCCCAACACTACCTAAAACTAAACTCACTCACACTCAAATGTTTTTCTTGTAAGATAAAGAAACATGTTTGCTTGTGTTTGTTTGTGTTTGTTGGTTACACATTGCACTCAGTAATATTCCAAGAAGGCATCCCGTTAATCATCAAGACCGGAGACAAAAATTGACCTGCCATCAGGCTGACATGTGCTATACATGCTGGTGGAGTGAACCCACTGTAGGATGCACCAGTGTTGATAGATTGAACCCACTGTAGTATACACCTGACTGAGCCCACTGTAGTAGACACCTGACTGAACCCACTGTAGTACACACCTTACTGAACCCACTGTAGTATACACCTGACTGAACCCACTGTAGTAGACACCTGACTGAACCCACTTAAGTATACACCTGACTGAACCCACTGAAGTATACACCTGACTGAACCCACTGAAGTATACACCTGACTGAACCCACTGTAGTAGACACCTGACTGAACCCACTGAAGTATACACCTGACTGAACCCACTGAAGTATACACCTGACTGAACCCACTGAAGTATACACCTGACTATACCCATTGTAGTATACACCTGACTAAACCCACATTAGTACACCTGACTGAACCCACTGTAGTATACACCTGGCTGAACCCAGTATACTACCTGACTGAACCCACTGTAGTATACACCTGACTGAACTCACTCTAGCATACACCTGGCATAACCCAGTATACTACCTGACTGAACCCACTGTAGTATACACCTGACTGAACTCACTCTACCATACACCTGGCTGAACCCAGTATACTACCTGACTGAACCCACTGTAGTACACACCTGACTGAACCCACTGTAGTACACCTGACTGAACCCAGAGTTGACAGCACTTACCTCGAGTCCACCATCGCCATGTACAAGGCACATGTGAATAGGTCAAAATAAGAAGACTGAAAAAGAGAGAAATCTTTAAGATCGCATCTTTAATTCTTGTATATCTTATCTATAACTCTAGCAGATCTCATCTTGTATTCTTGTATATCTTATCTATAACTCTAGCAGATCGCATCTTTAATTCTTGTATATCTCATCTATAACTCAAGCAGATCTTATCTTTAATTCTTGTATATCTTATCTATAACTCTAGCAGATCTCATCTTTTATTCTTGTATATCTTATCTATAACTCTAGCAGATCGCATCTTTAATTCTTGTATATTTCATCTATAACTCAAGCATAGATCTCATCCTTACTTCAAGACGCTGGTCCCCCCTTTAACACCTGCTGACAGAAAAGCACATCTCACCTGACCCTCCCCAGGGCTGCTCCCCATCATCAGACACTTCAGTTGGACCAGAGCCTTTTTCTTGACATCCTCTGACAGCTCGAGCTCTTCACACAACTTCAGAAAGTCAGTATCCATTTTCTGAGCTGTAGGCACCTTGGTGTTTTCCTTGGTCATATCTGTGCCCTGGCTGCAAAACAAATACACCACTGTTTGACGTTCACCAGACACTCATTTTCAATGGTTTCAATAAAAGATGCACAATATTCTCAGCTCGATTTCTAACACTCGATGATCATGATCAGACAGAGACGTAATGTGTATGTGAGACGGCCTACTGTCTCTTGTTTGTGAGACAGGTACGCTCTATAATACTAAGTGAAGAGTTTGACCCTAATTAAATCAATCACCGAGGAACAAAGTGTGGTGGTTAAGTGCCAGTCGTGAATAAACAGGTTTCTCGGTCTCGGTCTTTGATACTGATTGGACTTTCAGACATATACTTGATGTAGCTATTGTTCAGATTCTGAATAAACTGCTGTACACCTATTCTTAAGGTGTGATAAAATTGAATGAAGATCTTATTTTTCCAAGTTATTCTTGGGTTGTTGGAACTGAAATAAGGATCCGTAAATGCTTCGAAATTTTGCAATTGAAATAAAAATGTAACCATGTACATCCCTCACAATAACGCTCTTCGCAATACCGCGGATTCGGTTAAACCGCGGGGTAATCCGTGGCTCCCATAAAAAAAGTTGCCCAGTGATCACACATATTCACATCATCAAAAATAGCACACCAACAAATCCGCTGTTGAGCTCTGGTTAATCACGTTGTAAACTAGTGAAATTCAGTGCCGATTGCAATTAACAATGTTTATCGTACATATCCATGTTTCTTGAGATGCTTAAAACATGCAGAGTTCCAGCTATATGGTTGTGGTCTGTAAACAGTCTGGACCACACAATCCAGTGATTGCCATAACAAGCATTGATCTGTACAATCGGGATACAATCACATGCATGACAAACCAAAGATTTTAACAAAAAGGATGGGATGCTGAATACTAATTAAATCTAACCCTGTTCTTTTCAGGTCTAAAATGGGATGTGTTAGTCACCATATTGCCCCATGAAATCTTGATACATCAATAGGACTGAGACGATTCACCGCGATACATTTAAGTTTGATACAGCTATCGTATCGTGGACTGGTGTATCGATATAAAACGATACACAACTTTTTTTTCAAAACAGTATTATCTTAAACATGTTACAGTACTTATTTAGAGAAAAATACGCAAGTATGATAGAGTTACTTGTTTGTTTATTACAATAGTGTTATTGTTAAACACAAACAACTTGAAATAAATTATTTTAAATCTTGATACTGTGTCATTCTTTCACGGTGTATGTATTGTGATACGTATCGTATGTAAAATATTGCGATATGTATTGTATCGTGACATAGTGTATCGTCCTGCTCTATACATCATCTCAATCATTTTTCACATACGTCATACTGACATATCCATGCCATATTGTCATACTGAGAACATGGTGAAGGGGTAGTCCAGTGGTTAAAGCATCACTCATTAAGCTAAAGACACAGGTTCGATTCCCCAATAAGTGCAATGTGTAGCCCCTTTCTGGCGTCCCCCGGCATGATATTGCTGGAAAATAGCTAAAAGTGGCGAAAACCTAAACCCACCCATTTGTGCTGTTGGGAGGTTGAATTGAACAGATTACTCTTCATTAACAGTATAAAATACAAGAACAAAACAGCTTGAAATGAAGGGACAGGTATAATGTAATACTAGTTGGTTTTGGCAGCTTGATTCTTACTGTGACAATTTTTTAATGAATTTGTTCAACCATCAACAACATATAGGTACATGACACGGAATCGTTCATTCACTGCCAAGTGGTGTTTATTAATTAACTAATAACATTGTAACAATTTCGACTTTTAACATGCTAAATGAATTGTCAAAGTTCAAGTATGTTTGTCCATTGATTAACCCCATACAGAGGGAGGTGGTCTGTAAATAATCAAATCCGGACCAGAAAATCCAGTGATCTATGTAATTGGGGAACAATGACATGGATCACCCAAGTGATCCATCTGACCATTAGTCACCTCTTACGACAATTATGGGTTGCTGGGGACCAATTTTAGCCAAGATCTTCACGGGTCCAAACACAATGCAGGCATGGCTTAAAATCATAATGACTTAAATAGTCACATTTATTTCCAAATAATTTTTTTAAACCAAGGACAAATGTGTATAACTGACATATATCAAGTGATATACTTTGCACTGACATACTCAATACACAGTGAAAACTATCCATACCTAACAAGACTGACAACTTGTGCTTAAATATACAAAGGCAAAAACAATTATCCCAAATCACAAAGTGTTGTCCAGCAACTTGTGTCTAATAAAACTCTGTGCACTGATAAATTTGACTTTTGTGTAATAATTTCAGGGTGTTTAAAATTTGAGTCTACATCCTGAAGAACAGTGTTGACTAACCAGTAATTGAGTCTGGACGATACAATCCAGTGATCAACATCATGAGCATTGATCTGTGCAAATTAGGATACGATGACATGTATCACCCAAGTCATCGAGTCTGATCACCCAGTCACCTCTTACAACAAGCATGGGTTAGTGGAGACCAATTGTATCTCAGAACTTCACAGGTCCAAATACAAAGGAGCCATGGCTTAAAATCATCACAATTCAGTCCCATGGATGAAGAATCTGAGACGATCTTCTCTTGGTAAAAGCAAACATGGCACAGTTGATCACCACTCTCTGACTCATCTGATTGCTGATAAATTTGTGGACTTCAAAATTCTTGTTAATACTGACTGAACATGGAGTATTTGCGGCATTTCTGATTAACTGTGTAAAACAAACCTTATAATGTACAAAAGTCAGGTTTTTCCTGTGTCTGTCCTTCTAAACTTCAAACTTAGAAAGATTTCTTAACTTCAGTCATTCACAGCTTATTGGTGTTCTGCCTGTAATCGGTGGCAGTGTGCATGTGCCCACTGTCTTGCTTTAACTCTAAGCTAGAATAAATCAAACGTAACCTGGTGAATACTAACAAAATGTCTTACCGTCAGCGTTAAGATCTAAACATGGATTGACTGTTCTCTTCGAAGTTGAAATAATTTTTACAAAGAGATCGGTGAAAATTTGTCAAAACACAAACAAGGGAAGTAACTCTATTTACTAGGAAGCGAAAGAGCTCACCGTTCACCGGGTTATTTTGTCATCCTTAAATTGAGATCAGAAACATATACGATTGAAATTTATGTATTGAAATATTGCCTATTCATATAAAATAAAACATAACAGAATGGAGGGTTTCCTCTGCCCGACGCAGTTATTTTGTAATATGATGCAAGCAAAATATTTAGTTCACCCCAGTACAGTTCTCACAAATCCAATAAAACGGAGGGTATAAGATCGCGATCGGCCTACCTATTAAAGTAAAGATAATGAAAATATTACGTACACATTCGGTTCAATACCAGTTAATCAACTTTGACGACCGGTTGTGAAAACGACAGGTCGAAAGTGGGCAGGTCACACATCGACAAGTTGTGCGAGCAAATCAACAGTGCTCGACTGGGATAACCTACCCTGAATCCTGCGAACTGGCGTCTCTCTCTTCTAATTCAGTCGCCATATCGATTAACCGTTCCACAATCAATCATATAAAGTTTGATTTGGTGTATCTGATCATCGATTAGTCCGAAATGTTTACAATGATTCGGCACATCACAAACTTCATCCATGAAAGATTACCCGCGAAATTGTAGGTTACTACACAAATCGGACATTTTGATTGGCTACAGCTGACCCATGCGTACGGGGTCACCTGAGGTCAAAGTTGACTTCGCGCTATAATCTGGATTCTGGAAGCTGATTGGTTCGTTTTACTTACAGCGTTTACTATGCTGAACTAAAACAGGTCGATACATGTCGTCAGTTTTCAACGTGGGTGTTTAAGTGACCGAAGAACAGGATAAGCATACTCACAAAGGAGGATTATTGCTATCATTTTATGGCATTTAATATTTGGCATCATGAAAATTGTTTTGTTCTTAGGTAAGACCATTTTGAGTCTGACAAAAGTTAATAACAGCTAAAACTCGCCATAATTGCAAGGTTTTCGTGGCCTAACAATACCAAGCAACGTTAACCTATCGATTAGAATAATGATTTATGTGAATCATAAATAGAATTCAGAACTCCTAAGCGAACATTTGTACCACAATCGTTTTCTTTTATGTGACTGCTTTTTTGTCTACGAATCTTTCATTCCATTGTTTTTTGAAAAGGCTACCCCTGTTTTCCTTGTCAGTTTACTATTTACCATATACTCTCTGATGTTTTTACATAATGTATATTCATTTACTGATATCTCAAATTCGGTGACATATATCAATAAAACCAACGAATGTTTAGATACCATCTATCTAATTCTTGAAAAATCACATTCGCCTTATTCGCCTTGTGAAAGGCAAGAATATTTTTAAGTTTCCATGAAAGACTGATAGAAATATGGATGTATATAATATCCATGTATATTCATGCCTTTCCAACTTCATGTATGTTTTCGAAGCATAGGCTTCACGGGGCGGTGGGGTAGCCTAGTGGTTAAAACGTTCGCTTGTTACGCGGAAGACCCGGGTTCGATTCCCCACATAGGTACACTGTGTGAAACCCATGTCTGGCGTCCGCTCTTGTGATATTCCTGTAATATTGCTAAAAGCGGCGTAAAACCCAACTCACTCACTCTCTTATTACGTTGTATACTCGGTGTCAGGTTGATGAGAATAGTCATGAAACTTAAGCCCAATCTACATTTAAGGTCACAACAGACATCTCAGAAAAGGAGCAAAGCGAATCAAACCGGACATAAGGCATTTAAACAGTGTGCCTGAGTAAATGGTGCATTCACGTTGCGTTTAGAAAATTGCTGAGTGATTGAAAAATCATGGAATGAAAAGGACACTGTTACAGC